GATGTCATGAGCAAGTAATTGCTGCATCTGTGTTAATGACCTCTGGATTAGCAACATCTGAAAGAATCCAGTCAAGCAGTCCCTCTATGCATTTTCCTCTCCCAAACACTAAGGACAGTATTTGGTAAATTCTCTTTAAAGCCTCTACAGTAAGGTCACAGCTGAGGTGGGATCTCCCATGAAAGTTAACATGCTGTTGTTTTTAGAGAATGTTTCAGACCAGTTGGAAGGGTTGCCTTATGATTAGGAACAGGACAGTCAGGAGATCTGGTTCTATTCTCATTGCTGCCACCAACTTCCTGTGCAATTCTGGACAGCTCATGGGCCCTTATCTATAAATGAGGATAACACTTCCTTAGTGTCAGCATCCCTCAGATAAGTAATTCACTTGTAAAGTATGCCAGCATCACTGCATGGAAGCATCAACTGCTGACGTGAGTAATACTTCTGAAATGCAGCCATTTGGTTCCACCCAAACGATAAAAATCAAAATGCATTTTAGATAGCATCCTTTCATTATGTCCCTGTTACAGCATGAATTCAAAGCCCTGGGGAAATGCAAGTTGTGGAACATGCCAGTCAGAAAGCTTACTTCATTCACTCTAAACTCTTCCATACCTGTCTCCATTTGAAGCTGATTCATACACTGAAAAGGTTTCCTGCATGCCATTTGAGTCACGTAGTCAGATAATTTAGCATGTTCTATAGATATTCCAACAATGAAATTACTCTATCACACTGCCCCCAAAATGTATAAGCTAAACAAAAGAGGCAGAGTTTGGTTGAACTACGAGAGGACAAAATGAGACTCTGAAGTTCTAGATACTGGAAGATTGAAGAAACCAAAAGGCTGATAGCACACCTCTGTTAACCTAATTTTCATGCTCTGAGCCAGAAGAATTGCCCAAACCAGAGCATGCAGTCATTCAGACCTGAAGAAAGATCATTCTGGAGGTGTTAGAACAGCTCAGAGGGTAGCACAGAAATGCTGATGGCCTATAGATACAATTAACCTAGCCTCATCTAGGAACAGAGTGATGTAGTTTGGCAACTGTCATACCTATACTTGAAGTGCAGAGGTGAGATTAGAGTATTACAAGAAAGCACAGTTTTCCATTAAATTATGATAGCCTGTCTCCTGCTAAGCATGTTGGGACAGTATGGAATTTGGAGGCCACTAAGCTTCAATGGAGGAGTGTTCCTGAGCTATGCTAAGTCACAGCTTTAGCACAGGAACTTGTCTAGGTTATCTCTGCTGCTTTCAGTTTCACCTGAAAATAAGCTCTGCAAACAGTTCTGAGTGTGAAGATGCATTGAACTGTAAGGCACTGAAAACAGTCACGATGGGAGCAAACCCTGTCTGGTAAAGGAGGTCACAAAGATTAAGAATGCATATAATCTCCAATGTAATTGTTGGCCTTGTTTTCAAATGTAGCATACTGGGAAGTTGGTACATATCAGCACAGACACAGAAACCCTTCCACAGTGTCATTTTCCATTAATAGCTACCAGAACTAAAGCTCCAAAGTCAACTTTTAAAATGCAGGACCTGTGCTTGTACAGTTTAAGCAAAACTGTCATCCTTGTGCTTGATGCATTTTAATATTTAATGTAGCAAGACAAAATTTCCTTAGCTAAGAAAAGCACTATGCTTGTTGTCAAGTGATAGCAGCAACCTAATTTCCTAATTAAGTTCTACTACTAGCACATTTTGCCCTACTTGTCTCAACTTTAAAATAAAGAGGGGAAAAAAAGTTACCTGTAACCTAATTGCAACAAGCTCAGGAGAAATATGGTGTCAGTTATGCAAGTGTGGTGAGCAGCTATTCATTTCACCAATATATTTGAGTGAAACCTTAACTCTGTACTAGCAAATTAATACATTTGTATGTTTGAGATAGGATGTGCAGATACAGCTGCTTAATATTACACAATGCTGGCATAGGTGTGGAGGAAAAAAGGAACTTATAAAAACGGATACAAAAAATGTAATGAAACTCTGTGTATATATGTCAAAAATAATCTTAAGATACCATATTCCAAATCTGGATATGAGCTCCAGGACTGCTACTGCCCTCAGAATGGTGTATGACAAATACCTCACAAGCACTGAGAATAATGGTACAAATTGTTGTTTTGTCATCTGGTAGACCAAAGAGTGGCAGCAGCTGCTGCTCTCCTGTTTTCTGGTTCCTTAAGTTATTCCACTCTGTTTTATAAGGGGAAAAAAAACCAAAATCAAACAGACTGCTAGTTTTTTAAAAGGAATTATATATCACCGGTTTGTCTGCTGACTTTGCTAGACATGAGGAACTTTGTTGCATTGATCCAGGCAAAGTACTCAATTCCCTGCAGACAAGCTGCTTCTTTAAGGTAAAATGCAGCAGGTCTTAGGCTGCTGGGCACTTAACCCTGCACATCATGTACTGCCTTAAGACAAGGCTTCAGCAGTGTATTGCTGTGATCAGCCTGGCTGTACAACTACAGATTATTAATGCTGAGAAACCTGAAGGCAGGCTTTGCTGCCCTGTACCACAGGATCAGTGCCAGCAGTCTCTGCTCTTACAAAACCCATCACCTCCTCAAAGCACTATCTTGTGTAACCTCTGAGCACAGGGCTGCCCTCCCAGTTTTCTCAAGGAAAACCGAGGTTGAAAAAGAGCAGCATGTAATCCTGTAATACAGAGTTCTAGTTCCAACAAATACAGGACACTGCATCCCTGTCCTTCATATTCCTTCCTCTGGAGCAGCAGAAAGGAAGGAAACTGCCTCTTGGCGAAAGCACACAACTAGAGAAACAGATCTTGGCTGCTGCTTTTATTGTGAAGGTTTTTTTGTGTGTGTGCAGTATCTTTGGAAATACTACACGTCAGTGATAGAACTCAGTAAGGTCACAGTGAGAAACTGCAAACTTCAATTATTTCATGAAAAATGCTAAATGTGTGCTGCCAGTGTAATTAACTGAACTGACCACAGTGACATGTCAGTCTTAGAAATAAATGCCATGCTTCCTAATGAGTATCCTTGTAGGGGAAAAAAAGGACAATTACCCTTAAACTTGCTTGCCATTAAATTTTCCCATTTTATAAACTATTTCAAAGTTAAACATCTTACCAAACATCTCAACAAGGATTTTCAGTAGAATGTTCACTTTATAAACTGTATCTTCTCATGGGAGAAACTTAAAAAAAAAAAAATTACCTTACCAAACAAGTTTTTTCTCTGTAACAGGCTATGGCTCTTTATCTTGTCTTACATTTTGACAGTTTGTGTAAACAACTGCATACAACAGAACAATCAGACTTGAAAGCAGAGAGCTTGTCATTTCCCAGGGTTCAGCTTGAAAATGGGACATCTCTCCACTTAAAAGGAAGTTGAGCAGATTACTATGCAACAGCTTTATTTACTCCAGATGGTATTCTGCTTCTTTCAAGCACTGTCTGTGTGCTGACCACAGAAAGCTAAAGCCAGCAAGCAGATATTCTGCTTTCAGACTGTTGTATCAGTTCAGATGAGATTACAAAATCAGTACAACTGTACCAAGGTGTTCTTATCCACACAAGCTGAACTGTGACTGAGGCTGAATACTGCAATATATTGTTATTTTGAAAGAACACTGCTAACTTTCTTCCCCCAAACGTTCCCATAAGCTGTTCTTTCTCTTGTGTTAGTGACTGTCTGTGCTCTTACAAAACTTCTAGTCTAAGTGAACCCTATCATTTTAAATAATGTTTAACTGTACCTCCAGTAGTTTGGATTAAGGAACATGCAGAGCCCTGAGAAGGTTGGGACAGCAAAAGGTGTTAAGCAAACAAAAGGAGGATCATGCCAAGAATTTGGAGCTTTCTTTAGAAATGGTACACGTGACAAAAAACGTTGCTGTAAAATGAGGTTACGCTCTTTCCCTGTGCATGGATGGAAAAGCTATAATCACAATTCAAACCTGCATGTTGGCCGGAGAATGAATCCTGCCAGTATATCAGGGCAGTTAAATGATAGAATTAACTAGGTCACTAAATAGCAAATAAGAGAAAATTCATTAGTGAGATCCATCCTTCCAAGCAGTTCTGCTACCTTGCAGCAAAACAAGTTCCCTCGAGTTGTTCTATGACACCTTGGTAACATAAAATCAACTGCTTGCCTTACTGTCTTCAGAAGCATGAATAGTTTTGGCAGGAATCCTCTGTACGGTGCAGTTGGCAGAGAATTTACTTTTCTTCCTATGCTAATTTTCACACACTGTTCACAAATGACAGGCTGCCAGTTTTTGTAAGACTCAAGAAAAACAGTGATACGTTTAATATTTAACCTTCTGCCAATAATCACCTGTAGAGATTGTATAAGAGGGCAATTATGGGAAACTTTTATGAATAACCAAAAGTGACAAACAAAACCTTTTGAATCTTAGTGAAAAGCAGCAGCTTTGGCAGCAGCTTCATTTGCAAACTGAGAAAAGGCAACAGGAAAAGTTCAAGAATATTTTTTAAACCCCCTACTTTACTTGCTAAGATGTTGCTTCCCTTGCTCGTTTCCCTGCATTTGCTCCTTGAGCTCCCCCCCATCCCATACACCCAAAAAGCTGCAGTTGAGAATCAGAAAAAATAACTGTTTATCAGCAATCCTTACCTTTCTATTTCAGTTCTCAGCCTGGAATGATCAATTAAACATTCCTTCTCTAAGATTAAGTAGAGAAGCAAAGTCACTTCCACAGAAGGGTGTATATATTCTACTGCTCTTATAACATATCTCACTGTTCCATACGCAAGACAGCAGTGCATTAAGCCTAGGTTCTGAAGTAGCTTAGTCACTTTTCTCAAAGGAAGTGGTATAGATGAAGCAATTTTTGTATGTCTTTCTTCAGAACATAATAGAACTTTTCAATCCTTTGGCATAGATAAACAGACTCCACATAAACTCATCCACACCTGCTCTGTCACTAACAATATCTAGTTTATTTTTCAAAACCATTGGAGAACTGTAAGACAAAGGGGAAAACTCACCTCTAATGCCAGTGCAGTCTTGTCATAAGCGCAGGGTACTCTCTTTTGGATAGCTTTGGCATAGACTGGTCCATTCTGCGTGGATGGCAGAGGATTGATGACTGCTCCAGGTGTACTGGATACTGTGGGAAGGGGACTTGTGGTCTGAGGCTGAGCATAAGCATGGGCGGGTTCTGGAATACCGTAACTGTTGGAATTTCTGTTGCCATGCTTCCCGATAGAAGATCTGACTAGCTTTTCTACATAAGGAACAGGAATCATCCCAATCCGACCATCCTTGTTTCTGGCACTCCACCACTGTTCTTCTGGCTTCTCTACAATTACCAGTATTTCGCCCTTTTTAAATGGGAGATCCTCAGCATCATTGCCAGGAAAGTCATAGAGAGTCCGAACGTATTCCACGTTTTCTTCGGCAGCAGACATAGTAGGGGCAGATCCAGATCCCATTGGTGGACTTGGATACCTAAGTTTAAAAAAGTTCCAGTTATCAACAGCCGTTGTTTTGCATTTCCAGTAACGAAACTAGCCACCAGCTGCACACAAGGAACACCAGGTAAAAGAGAACTACCTATGTTCACCTACGTAGCAAAACACAATACAAATCTATCATAGATGTAAAAAAAAAAAGTATAAGGCAAAACCTTAAGTACTGCTTTACTTTCTCTTTTGGATTATTGCGAAGATCTTAGGGTAGAATAAAGACCTCTGTGGCTTAAGTTATGAGAAGTTGTGATATATTAAGTGAAAAAGTTTTGGTTGACTGGGGAGGAGCTTTTGGAGAGCTAAATAATCCTCTCCGGTTCGTCACGTTTCCATCTTTAACCTCAGCATCCACTTCTGTTAAGAATCCAGAAACCCTGAATGGCAAACCTGAGGGAGCACAGTGGGAAAATGGAAGCAATAGTAAAAGGAAGAATATGATAAACTCTTCAGTCTTCCTAATTCTGTAGGCAGTAGAGCATCCTTGTACCAGAAGGCTACTGTTTATATGCAGGACTTGAGGGACAGCCATATTAATACCAAAAATCCCTTTGTTTAGGGACAGAGATGCATCTTATGTTCTTAGGAGACAACACATTTCCCTTCCATTCTTGAAAGTAATACGGAATTAAGCTCACTGATCTTATTGTCATAACTTCAGCTCTATTTAAGAGTACTCATCTCTCCTGAATATCTAAATACCTAATAGCATAAAGTGACATTCTTCATAAAAAACAGGATGAAATACTAACATCTGCTGGAAGGAACATACCACAAACACTGCTTTCTACTATATACATGCACATCATGAAGTCAGAAGAACTAACAGCCTGCAAAAGCACCTGAGATGTTCCACTGAAAAGGCCAAATTTTAAAGAGAAATGAAGACTAGCAGTAACAGTTCTGGAAGAAACTCCTGTCTACCCCTATTCTAAATGTAGTCCATTGATTCAAAGAAAGTAAATCTGGAAGTGCTACCCCTCATTCTCCTTCTTGCATCATGAAATTTCTTTTTTAAACAGAAGTCCAAACCATCAACCATGTCAGTGATTTTTTTCCAGAATTTTTGAACAAGAACTATACTGTGGATAACCACTTCAACCCCTTTTGTAGCTTTACAAAAAAGCCTGTCAGTTCACAGTATGCCAGCTCCCTTCTGTCTCTGTGTGCTGAGAGCACCACCAACATCTGTCTGCAATGAAAGCCTTAAAAATAAGGTGGTACTAAGATGTTCAGGAAATGTTTCATGCAAGGTATGACACAAATAGCCAGAGAACAAGTGGAATCAACTAAGTTTAAGTTGTGAAAGCCAAGTCATTGCTGTCCATGACTAAGAATGAGGTTGGTTGTTTTCAGAAAGGCTTGACAGTACCTAGGTTAACCAAACCAGAGATAGGCAAGAACATCACTGCAGTATAGACTTCTTTCCTCTAAACTGTCCATAAGTTTAAACACACACATAACCCTGTGCAGCTCCAGTTAAATGTTTCAGCACCTGTGAAAGATGAGGGAATTTTTCACCTACCCATTTCTTTACCCCCAGCACAACCACTACCAGAAGGTTTCTCAACAGCTTTAGGAGCTCTTGAGGCCAGAGCTTTGTCACGCTCCTCCCACCACCTGACAGCTCTGCAGAGCCTGCTGACCACTTGCCTTTTTCAATTTGACGCTATGGTCGACTTTTGACAACTTACTGATTGTGATTAAGAACTCAGAAGTTATTCCCCCTCCCCCTATCCCCCCAATAACCTGTTAATCAGAAAGAAATCCCTTCAGCTGCAGAATTTAGAATTGAAGTGCTTTTTTTTTTTTTTAACTGTGCCACTATTTTAATAGCTTTTTTCCTTATTTTATCTAGGAAGGATTAAATAAATATGTTCCAAAGTTACTGCTAAGCTGTTTAGTGATGCAGCCTGCAGGTATGCCCTGTGTTGGGTGCAGGACAAAGAATGAGCTCACGGCCAAGTCACATTTTCCCATCCTCCTAAAAGAGCATTTCTCAGTGTATGCATATGCAGAGACAAAGAGTGCTGTAACCAGACAGAGATAAATGCTTTTACCCTCTTCTGGGGGAATGCCACTCTCTAAGTCTGGGAAACAATGTTTTAGAATGCATGAGAATTCAATCAGCACCACGAAGCAGGAATCACAAAGGCACGACCTGTTGGAATCACTGTGAACTTGAGGCCAAAGCAACTGAGTTCCGAGGCCATACTACAGCCAGGGAGGGGAAGACTTCTGAGCCAGCTTCTCTCAGCCTTCCCAACAAGGGGACAATACCAGAAGGCTGATACAAAGCAAGACCACACCCTCCTGCAAGACAATTACAGTGGGTGGCAGGGATGTTCCCAGAGCCTCCGCATCTGCCTATATTCATCACAAGGACGGGCCCTACGCGCTATACTGATGATAACGATAACGAGCAACCCGCAGCCATCACCGAGAGCCCTGTCCGAGAGTTTCAAAGCAGAGGAGCCCCATACAGACCCCGGGGCCGCAGCACTCACCTGGGCGCGGGCTCGATGAGGGTGGTGGTATCCAGGTAGTGGATCTTGTAGAACTCCAGCAGGGCGGGCAGGTGCTCGAACTCCTGATCGCCGATCTTAAAGCGGCGGTTAGGCAGGGAGTTAATGATGTAGTGGGACACCCGGGAGTTCTCGGATACCGACAGCACGTAATCCCCCGGGCAGGTGGACGAATCCCGCACCAGGAACATGCCGTGCCGCTGCCCCTGCAGCCGAGTCTGCGCCTCCGCCCGCGACACCGGACCCACGTACCAGCTGGAGCGGTCCGACGAATCGAACCGGGCGGCGGAGGACATGGCTCCGAACGGGGAAGGGCGAGGGAGGGGAGGAAGAAGGCCGAGAGCCCGGAGGCCCCGCGGGAAGAGGAGAGCAGGGGAGGGGAAGGCCCGGACGGGCAGGCGGCGGGGCCGGGGGAGAGGAGGAAGCGCCCAGCCCGGCGGATGGGCGGCAAAGGGACGGGGGTGCGGAGAAGGAAGCCCCGTGCCGCTGAGGCGGAGGCCCGAGGATCGCCGGGCGGGGCCGGCCGGGCGCGGCGCTCAGGGCCCCGATGTGCTCAGCGGCGCGGCGTGCGGGGCAGCATCCTTCCCGCCTATCTCAGGCCCGGTTGGGCTGCGAGGGCGGGCGACCCGAAAAGGTGGCGAGGATATCCCGCTACGGTGCCTCGGCGCCGGATGAGTGGGAAACGGGAGGGGCGAAGCGCCGGGCTCCCGCTTTCTTCTATGGGTTCCCTCCCCTCTCAGAGCCGAGCACCAAAATGGCGGCGGCGCCGGGCGGTGGGAGCCCTCCGGAGACACCGCCCCGCGCATGCGCGCTGCGGCCCGCGCCGGCGTGAGGAGAGCGGGGTGGCGGGAGGGGAGCGGTGCTGAAAGCCCGCCTGCTGCCGGGCCGGAGGTGCGTGAGGGGAGCCGCCGATGTGCCTCCATCTTCGCAGGGCCCCTCACGGCTCACTGAGCTCCCTGCCCGCGGGCGGTTGGCGCCCACGTTGCCTCCTCTGAGGGTTTTTGGTGATGCTTTCCTGCGCGTTTCACCTCTTTCTCGCGTCGTTCCCACGCGAGGAGGTCAAAGCCCTTTGGAGTGATGGCTAAGAAGGGCCGAGCAGGGCCTGGCAGCGCTGGGTGCTGCGGTGAGATGAAGGAGCAGCACGAGCCCTGGCAGCAGGGCTGATTTCAGGCAGCTCTCAGCGGTATCAGCTCAGCTGCCCTAGGTAAGGACACGGCAAAGTAAACAGCACTAATTCCTGCTACAGACCTTCACAAACACTGATTTTTAGGTCAGCTCTGTGATTTCGCTTGATTTCGTTTCTCTTCTTGTTTTGCTTTTGAGGCTGTCAGCGTGAAACAGAGCCGAGTGAAGTAAGTGACTCTCAAATGGAGAAGCAGATTGGAGGTGACTGTCGCAACCCGCCCGGCTGCTGTGCAGGCTGAACTCCAGCTTTGCCATCTTCCCTTCACACTCTGTTTATTCCAAAAGCTCGCTCACAGCATGGTCGGTTTTCTTTTCACTTTATTTCCTATGTTGGCAGCCAGTGCCAGCTAAGGTGTTTGGATTGGTGCAGGCTGTCTCTCTCCAGGCATTTTGTTCAGATAACAAAAATGGAAGCTTCCCCTAGCTCAGATTCTTATGTTCTAGCAAAAAATATTCAGGAAAATCTTGTGACATCACTAATACAGAAGGGTCTTAAGCTAGGCCCTGAATACATGTGCAGGTATCGCTTCACCAGCTGCTAAGTACAACCATCCCCTGGGTGGAAAACAACAGCTGTTTAATCAGGCAGAGCAACACAAGTAAAACAATAGGGCCAGAGATGAATGGTTCCATCTGAAAATTCACATCCATGCAAACTTGTTTTAGGGAAACTTACCTAACAGATGTATCATTGATCCATTCCTTCTGGTTGAACTACTTTTCTCTGCCAATGAGAGTCATTTTTAAGCACAGGTAAATAAGTTACAATAGGTTATGAAGGTTGTTATGCTTCTCTTTGTCATTTGAACGGGTTTGAATCATTTTCTTTGTAGCTGTGGCCAAACTACAAGACAGTACTTGAAATAACAAGCCGAATAATGTTTAAAAATAATTACAAGAGCCACAAGCTAGCAGCAGAATCGGTAATACGTAGTATATAAAAAGGAAATAAAAATTCATGCTGCATTTTATTGAATTATAATTATTGTTATAGTATGATAAAAATCAAGTGTAAGTCAAATATGTAATTATCTTGCCTCCATTTCATGTAAATAGCACAACTATCTCTAAAGAGTTGAAACATGTCAGGAATAAATAGCACTTGATTATAAACCAGTTTCAGTGCAGTGCTACAGAGGGCTCGAGTAATGACTGAGGAACTGGCACAACCACCTTCTCTTCCTGAAAAAGACACTAAGCACAGAAAGGCTTTCTGTTTGGAAGGAACTGCCATAATTATCCGTTCTGACTTGTGCTTGTGCGGGCTGTGTGCATCCTTCAGGTCTTTCCCCTTTCAGTTTCAATAACTGTGGTTGAATTAGGTGAGATCAGCTAGGTAAAACACCCCATCTTCTACTTAGATTAAGAGAAAAAGGTGATATATTCAAGCTCGTTACCATTATCAGGTAAGACAGGGCAGCAGCTTCCTAGTCTGTCTCATGAAGAGTGGAGAGATGTATGGATTTTTAGTGCTGTTTAATGGTGCCACTTTACCTTTTTATTATATATGAATGAGCTTATGCTCTTTGTGTTATGAATTGGCAGCTTTTGTCCTCGGAATATCCTGCCAAATATTTGCTGCAGCACAACTGATGAAATAGGGATCTCTTGAAGTGCATCAGCTGCTGATAAAATACAAACTCAGCTGGCAGAATATTGCCTCGAGTAAGTGCTGTCCCTCTTACCCCATGCCCAGCTGCTGCTGCTTTTTGCAAAAGCCCCCATCAGTAGCACTGAATGCCAAATAAATTGTGTGTGTGGCTCATTCCTGGGTAAGGAGGAGTAACCTTGTATCAAAGATTTAGAATGAGAATCCTTATTTCTTTCAAATCAAGAACTGGGTACGCTTCCAAGACAAAATTAACAATCCTAATTGAAATGAGGAGGAAGTGGGAAAGGATATGTTGGATTTGGAGCTAGACAGCTGGAAAAGAAATACAGGAGTGAAAGCACTTAGAAACAAAACCTGAAGCGATTACAATCACTTGTGCAAATAAGGAAGCCTAAAATACTTCAGGATATAAGTCCACTAATTACTAATCTAGCAAATATGCCTCTATAGCTTTACCTTTGGCTGGCAGGAAAGAGGAAAATAGATTATTAAGAAACAAAGTTGTTATTCTTCTGGACTTCCTAGTGCATCGGCTGTTAAAGCTTTAGAATTGCAGTCACACTGTTCTGGAAGAGCTGTTTGGCTCAGATCACACAGACCAGAAGTAATGTCAAGTTTTCTTAGTTCATCACTTATCTGTCTGCTGTGCCTTGTGCTACACTGTGATGCTTCTTACTGCAAGGTAAAAGACTGACATATCTAGGAGACTAGAGAATTTTTTAATGAAAAAGAAAAAAAATATCAAAAACCAGAATCAGCCTAAAACCCCCATGAGAGCATGTTTTCCTTGAGATAACACAAAGTTTAGGTGTGCTAATGAAGTTCCTGAAGTTTCAGCCTTAATAGGTCGATAATAATCACACCTCAGCATATCAGTAATCTCTCCTGCAGTTTCTTTGTGTGGGTAACTGCACTGAGCAAGAACAAAGTTTTTCATATGATTTAGATTTTAGTGCAAATTTGCACTGAAGTGCAAGAGATTTGATTATTGTTAGCCTGTGTGTTGGCTTGAAAAAGGGAGTGCTGGAGCAGAGCATGCTAAATGATTAGGATGATTTGACCTAAAATAAATGTGCTTGTTTTTTCACTCAAAATGCATGCAATTAAGATAGTGCATATGGTAACTTTTAACTGTCATATTGTGCTCAGATGAAATTTTGGGAGTGAAAGCAAATGAAGATTGATTTTTACCAAATCAGTATACAGAAGACCTGCTCATAGAATTGGTTCATGTAATGTGAATATGACACTGGCAGCTTAAAAAAGAAAAATAGAAAAAACAATGCAACATTCCTAAGGTATGTAATGTGTTTTAAGGCCAGGCTGTTTCCTCATAACTGCATTCTCAGCTGTGTACTGATTTGCTTTGCACAGCATCCAACTGCAACGTTTAATAAATAATGCAGTCACTAAATTGCATATGCTGATGAAGTAGAAAAATGGATCTCCTGACTATGAAAGATCAGTATCCAAACTCTGGAGGAGTGATAGGAAAAGGCTGGGGAAAATAGAATTGTGAGTTTCCTCATGATGTTTCTTTAGCTTAATAATTACATCTTGCATTCCCCTACATAATTTAAGCCTAGTTTATTTAAAATAGTAAGTAATGCCCTCTAGTGGAGTACATAGGAAAAGGAAAATAAGCCAGACAAAAAACGATCCCATTTTTAATGATCATGAAAGAGGCTAAAAACCATTTTCCCTTGAAATACACTGCTTATCACTGGTCTGTTAAGACATGCTAGTTAAAATGTGAAACATGCTGCAAGCAGTGCAGGTAGGTGTGTGCTAAGTGCCAGGGTTAGTTGGAACATCTGGATCTAGAACATGGCTTGGATCACTAGGAGTGTGGAATCACTTGGTCAGTGTGCAGACACAACAGCTTGCCACTGCAATGCCTGCAGTCTGGAAGGAGTGTTTTTGTGATGTCAGCATCAGAGAGATTTGTCATTACATGTGAGAGCTGCACTGAATTCTTACACATTCAAAATAGCTCTGTGGGCTAAAGACGAATACACCTCAGGCTCCTGTATTGCAGTACAACAGTCAGAGTTTATTATCAAAATGGATTTTCTGAGGAATCTGACGTATAGGGTTTCCTATACGTGTCCTATATGCTTTGTCAGGTCTTCTGCTTTATTTGCCAATTGGCAAAGGGTCCAAAATTGAGGTAAAAACTGACAATGCTGAAGAAAAACAATCTGACTCCCCAGCTGAAAAAAAAAAGTAGTTCAAATACTTCTAAACCTTTTCCAGAAGCCCACTGTACTCGTGTGGAGTCAGTGAAATCCATTTTGAAGCCAAGTGATGGAAGAACATTTCTCTGAAGTAGCAGGCCAATGATTATTTGTCATGTGATGATTATTGAGCATCACTTTGGTTTCACTCTTCCTCCTGCTACTGCTAGAAGTTTTAAAGGCTTTTGGCTCACGATTTTCATGTGGCACCCATTAGTCCCTGCCCCTCCAGGAGGGAAGGAACCCATAATGTCCACGTATCACAATGGTTTGGACTTTAAATCAGCTTCTAAACTAATGTCAAGCAACACGGCAGTCAGAAGTGAATCATGTAAGCTTCTTAAGCAAAGGCTTTTCTATGTCTTATCTTTTTGAGCTGTGGTGATTCTGTTACTTTCCTGTCATTAGTTCAGCTACCATAGGGTCTTGGATGAGTGGCTTCTTCACTACTGCTTGTTATTTGCTTATTACTTACTTTCCTCATCTGAGGCAAACCCATTTCTTCTCTCTTTATCCTTTTGTAAAGTGTGTATTAAAAGAGTGAATAAAAAATCGGCCCATTCCCCAACCTGGTATATCTTCACTGATAATAATGTAGTAACGTGGGATCTAATTAAACTCTCCATCTTTCAGATTCCACATCATGGTTAATAAAACTGTGACAGTAGTTGAAAAGAAAAAAAAAAAAGTTCTGACAAAGATTTATTAATTAATTTATGCTTGTGAACAAATGTATCTGACAGTTGAATGATGAGATTGCCATATTCTGTACAAAGAGCTGTTTCTAGAAATCTTTCTGCTGCATTGTCAGCACCTGTAGTACAGAAATTTAGGAGTGGGTGTCAGTTCACAGACTCAAACCCAGCTATGAGGATGGCTGCATGCCCAGATGAGATGAAGGTTCAGATTTCTTGCTACTGTTCCTGCTTCTGTATGTTCAGTCTGGCTAGAAATGATCAAGCTGTCTGACTCCTGGCACAGGAGGGAGATGCTAGTTCTTACCTTCCTACGTTAGGCTTGCTAGAAGGTTTTATTACCAGACAAAAAAAAATCTCCCTAAACTCAAAAAGCTATTTAACACTAAAAGCTGGAAGGAAAGAAGCCAGTCAAGCTGAGCTTTCTGTGCCTTTTTTTTTTTTTTTTTTTCTGTCCATGCTGAAAGTTGAGAGAAGCCTCCTTCAAAGGAAGAGAACCTCTCTACATTATCTGGGGGAAAATGGCAGTTCTGTGGTTACTTCAAAAATTCTGCTTTCTGGCAGGTGAGCAGATACTGACTGGTAGTGGCATTTTGTGCAAAACACTTGCAGATGAGCAGATAATAACAGCAAATGTCATTTTGTGCAGAACGCTTATTTTTCAAACTTTGAAATACATATTTATGGATATAAGAAAGACATATAAAATCTTTGTGTTTTTTTTTTTTTTTCTTTCAAGACTTAATTTCCTCAACTACTGGCAAAAAATAAATATTAAATTTTTTAATCTTCACTTGAATTGTCAAATTCCTCCCAGTCTGATACGCTCATAACTTCTGATGGAAGGTCAAGGTGATACTTCATGCGGTCTGCATGCCATTCTGAGAACCATTTCTCTGTTTCCATTAAAATAGCCCTGGGCAAGGTAAGGACACAGGCAGCCATCCCAGAAATATCATCCTCCAACTGGGGTCCATCCTCCCAACAGTCTCTCTCTGCATCATAAATGTGGACGTAGTCCATGCGGATTCCTCTGTTGTGGGATCTGCCTCCCAGGACATAGATCCTGTTGTCTAAGACAGCAATACCTGGCTCTCCATGTCCTGCAGGAAGTGGACATACATTTGTCCACTGATCAGTGCTTGGCCTGTAGCAGGCAACCTGTAAAAGGTACAAAATAGATTAGCCAAAATTGAATTTGGATCTCAGTGACAGAACCTGGCTGTATGGCAAACTAATTATGTAGCCACACCATACCATCAGTCCTTTGATGGGGTATTGATAATAGAGAGCATGTATCCCATGCAGGAGAAGTACAGTGCTCAGTGAAAAACCCAGTGCATATTTGCCATATAACTCAATCACAACATCTGACCCAGCTGTTGTGCTAACAGCTGTATGTCATTCAAACAAACAGATACAGAAGTGTGAGATGAGGACATGTTAATATAAGCTCAGACACAGCGCACCTGTTTGCATTAGGAAAAAATGTGCTGTATCACACAAACATGACAAACCTGCTAAACCATCTTGGCACCACATGCTGGAAAGTTTTAGATTTCAGTAGGTACCTACTTTACTAACTCCATTTATTTGTAAGCATCTTTTTGTAACTCAAATAAACTTTAGCTTGAATTTTGCTATCTTCATTGGCTTTGGCTTTAAAAAAAAACAATTTTTTTTCTTTTATATATCTTTAGCAGTTACAGAAGTCAGAATGAGACACAAGAAAATTCTCCAGTCATCACTGCCCATCAGGTACTGTATATTTTATTTATAAAATTGCCATCCAATCTATTCATTGTGCTTTCCAACGTATCCTTAACAAATCCTGTCCTGTGACTGTACAATGCTAATTCCAAAGTTCTTAACTTAGGAAGAAATGCATATGAGAAGGCAATTAAAGGAAACTCAGTTGATGTGCTACTTAATGGGCTATCTGCATGGGAGTGAATGTCATTCAGCAAAAATATTTTAAAATTTACATGGATCTCAAATGCTACAGCTTTAATGCTTAGTGCATTCAAGGCAGCAGCAAATAAATCATGGCAAGGTCTGCAATGAAGTGGAAGAGAGCTGATGCTAGAGAGTTTTACATGTGTACTTAGGAGGAGAAAGACATCAGTGTGCAAGCATCTGTAAGAAACAGACTCTTCCAAGATGTAGGTATGATATGCTCTCACCTGGTGAACATCCCTTCTGTAGCCAGAGTCATTGTTGCTTCCTCCAATTACATAGAGCTTTCCCAGCAGTGCAGCCATCCCATGCCAAGCACGTCTCTCTGGACCATCTGCTAAAACTTCCCAGCGGTCAGTCTTTGGATCATAACATTGCAGCTCCTTCAAATAATCTTCTCCTCTCCTCCCACAGGTAATATACATCTTCCCATCCAGTGCTGCTCCAGCATGTGCATATACCTGCATCACCATGTGGGAAAGCAAGAGTTTGACGTCTGTGTTTATGTATTTCTCCCAGCTTCAAAGTATGGAATAGACATTAAAGAAGTGACATTCTTCATGAATTATGCAGATATTAACATCTGGAAGGATCTTCTATTTTTTTATAGACAACTCCTTTCAAGGTGATTATGTTGAAAGTGTGAATTTCTAAATTACCCCAGAATTTCCAAAACTTCCAGAACTCCCATGGGTTGTTCTTTCTTACTATTTCTTTATTAGAAACTCATCCATATAATTACTTTTCTCCCTTGCCTACTTGGAAGTCCGTGAACTAAATAGTATACAGAAACTGATGTACCCTCACTCAGAGGGTGGTAAGGCACTGGATCAGGCTGCCCAGAGAAGCTGTGGATGCTCCATCCCTGGAGGCTGGATAGGGGTTGGGCAACCTGATCTAGTATCTGATCTAGTGCCTGATTTAGTAGTTGGCAAGCCTGCCCACGGCAGGAGGTGTTGGAACTAGATGATCTTTAAGATCCCTCAAACCTGAGCCATTCTGTGATCCTATGGTATCTTCCTAGTATTTGATGATTTCTTCTAATTGGGAATAAAGCATGCTTATTAGGACTGTAGATAAGAAGCTTGTACTATTCATGGTTTACCTATCCCAGGAGGAATGGGAAGTTCCTTGACTTACATGTTCAATTTGAAATAATTTTAAGGATTAATACAACAGAGGTGCAGGGGAAAACAGGAAGAAAACAAGAAAAATAAGCATTAAACCTCAAAATTAAAGTTATACGTTATTATTAGTCTTTACTGGTATGTTTATCTCAAATGCAGATGCTACTGCTTCCCATGCAAGTATCAGCAAAATGAAACCAATGCATGAGAAAAGCACCTAAAAAGATGAAATTAGGAACTGGGGAACTCTATCAGTGTGTGTGGCTAATGCACTCCTTACCTCCTTCTTTAGAGGTGTCACATATTCCCAAGTGTTGCTTTTAGGGTCATACCTCTCCACTTCTCTCAGGTCTTCATGGTAATCTCGGCCTGCGACGGCATATATATAATTGTCCACAACACAAACACTGAGGTCAGCATGCTCCTGCTGTAAGGACTGGATCTGGAACCATTTGTTGTGTCGTGGGTCATACCTTGTAAAAGAATGGGATCAAAGAAAGTGATTCATACATCCACAGAATCACTGCTGGAATACAAGACAGCACCACACATGGGGTTACTGTACTGTCTTTGGTTGAAATTAAATTCAGCTGTAAGTGGAGTGAAATACAGCCCTGTCAGCTTTTTATTATTAGCAAAGTTCTTTTTGTTTATTTTTAGAAGATGTATTTCAGCTGATACAATCATGCTATAAAAGCCTAGGTTTTCTATTGTATTATACGTGCCTTCAGATTATGTATCAAAATCTCTGTTAGCATAAAGCCATTCTACAAGGTAAAACATTCTAACAGTAGCACAGACTGAATCTGGATCTTCAAGACATCAAAGGGTGCATAAGCATTTTGTGGCTTCTTTGATTCTTTCTTTCCAGCATATGTGCTGCTTCAAGTAAGGCTCATGGTTAATTTTCAAATATAAGTGGCTATCTAATCTGGAAATTGTAGTTACAGTGACAGCTGATGGTGAAGTGAAGATGTGCGTGGCATGAAATCAGGGCAATTCCACTAAAACTAGTAAAGATAAGATGATTGCATTATAAAATCGAAAGGGTTTATATCTGTTTTTGCAATGTAATGGGCCTCAAGATCTAAAACTGTTCCTTTCTCCAGTGCATTTTTTTCTGGCACAGAACTGAAGACAACCCTGGAATGCTGCTAATGTGCATACATTTTCTCAATAATTAACTAATAACAGCATTTTATTTACAAATCCTTTCTGGTGGCTAAATCCCTTTGCATAGGGATGAGAACTACACACAGAGGACTTTCAGAAAATCTCATTTCAAGAGCATCTAGACAGTCTAGATTCTGGAGAATTCTAGTTCATTACCATTTCCTACACATTTAATACTTCACTCCCTCCAACAAAGAAGAGAAGGTTGCACATGTAATACTCCTGCATAAGCAGCTGTTACTACCCAATCAGCCTTGGCTTTGTTCCATAAGCATTGCTGGAAGCTTTCTGTTGTTATGATGCTAATTTCCTTATTTCTTGTGATTTCTTCCAGTGAGAGGCTCCTATCTTTTTTGCCAGCAAGCATACAGGCTGCGCTAAAGGCTTACTGACTCAGAGATGGGCAATGGGGTGGAAATGAGAATAGTAGCAGGATTATCCTTATCTTACCTCCAACACCTTGACTCTGCTCGAAAACCACTTACATTGTTGTCTCCGCCAATTAAATATACAAAATTATTGAGAACAGCAATCCCCTGGTTGGACATTCTGGGGGCTAGTGCAGCTGTAAAGTGCCTCCACTCTCCCAACAGGGGGTTCAGATACTTGGCTTGATCACTGAGAACAATGGATGGAGTAGAATGCATCCCTCCAAATCCCACTACACACTGGAACTCTGATCTCAGCTGTGTCTGGGAGCTCTGGAGCATTGGCTGAAGACATTCATTCTTGTGGTACATTAGTGCATCTGCGACTGTATCTTTTAAAGGACATGGACTTAATTTGTCATGAAGCCTTTGCAGGATCTGGGGTTCCATCAGAGGAAAACGAACTGTCTCAAGTAGCTTAAGGGGCTCCATCAGGGAGACCTGATCTGTCTCCAGTTGCTCTGGAGAATAATGATAAAAAAGTGCACCATCATAAACTTCAAATTCATAGTTAACCTCCAAACGGTTGCTACTGAGAAGGGAGTAGACCTTCTGCAAGGGTAGCTGTCGGTATGCTTGTGTCCTTGAGAAAGCTGCAAAGTTCTTCAAAATGTAGGAGTCCAGCTGATCGCTCAAATGTCTCAAGTCATAATGGTCAGCTAGTTTGTATACATCCAGGATGTTCTCTTCATCTACCCAGGACATTAGAAAATCACAACAGAACTTAATGACTTCTGGAATCTGCAAGAGAGAGAGACCTTTTATTTCATACACCCTTTGCCTTACGTTCCAAGATACAGATGACAGAAGCATAGGACAGGAAGCTTCCAAAAACTGTAAAAAAGTTGTTGACAAGAAAATTGCTCTTCTCACAGTCTGATCACCGTGTTCACCTTTCCTCAGAGAAAAATCACAACTCAACATGGATACATAGATGAATATAACCCAGATCTTCTAGCCACACTATACTGCAAGCCTTTGAGTTTTGCTTCTTCTGTAGCAGCAATGCATCTTCTGGGGCACACAGGATACTGAACAGCCAGACTGCCTCATTAACATGAGAGATGAAGGCTGCCTGGGAGGCAGTCATGGAAACAAAAGGCATGAAGAACATGGCAACAGCCTCTCCTTCAGTTGCTCTCTCAGAGCACTACAGACACACTGCATCACAGATTGTAACTATAACAAAAATATCTGCATCACTCAAGAGCCTAGAAAGCCATTTGAGAAGAACATTAGCATGTAGTGTAGTCTTCTGTGTATTATCTGAAGTTGTATCTGACAGGAGGACAACTGGCAAAGTAACAACTGATCAAGAGGCCCTCCACTAACAAACTGGTGCTAAGGGTGTAGCCAAGCAAAGCACCTGGAAAGTTTAAGGTTAGTACCAAATCCCATGCAGCAATTAGCTGCAAGGAAAATTAGAGAAAAAAACTGCCTTGAAAGCAAAAGGCACTTTGTGCAGAAACCATGGTAGTAGTGATGAGGTCAGATAAGGTTACGTGCCTGTGGACTCAATCTGGGGTAAATCTTGGCAGGTTTAAGCAGCACAATGATTTCTGAGCAGCATCCCTGTCCTTTATCATAGGTGAGCAATATTCTATTCTAGGGAAGCTTTTATGTGCTGATCAGTGAAAGTGAGTGCTTCATAAAATAATCTTTTAGACAAAATGCTCTGTAGGTGATGAAACCATAGCACAGATCAGACATGCAAGCACTGGTTCATTATTCCAGCCCTTCCAATGGTTACTGCATTCCAAAGAAAGTCTTCTCATTGGAATCATGCTCTGTTTCACTCCCTAGCCCTCCAGCCATGTTTTGTGTTTCTTTCATTCTTGCTTTTGTTTCTTGCTTCTTTTTCATCATACCTCCCAGCACCTCACCTGAAGCTGACAGGCTGCAGCTAACGTTTCCTGTACACTGTTGACACTGAGTTCCAGCTCAGAAGTATAAATGAAATTCAAGATTTTACACATTGCGTTGTAGGAGATGCCATGAATATGAACTTCTTCTTGTTCCATCTCTCTCAGTCCTCCTGCAAACATTCCTCTGTAAAAAAAAGATTTGCATTTGAAACTGTATTCAGTTTGCTTATCTTATGCTATCCTGAGAACATAACAAAATATTCAAAAAAGATAAAATCCTAGTCAGACACTTCTTTGGGATTATCTCTTTTCTAAGCCAATGATACAAAAAGCACAGACTTTCAGGACCTAAGAAAGGAATACCTCTCATTCTGCAGGAAAACAGTGGGGACCACTTGAAAGATGTAATTCACAGTGGAAGATTTAAATACAGACCCAGTACATACAGACAGGCAGTGGGTGAAGGCAAATACTCTAGGGATGGGGAAGAGAAAAACAGGAACTTGAGGCTTTTTAAGCTAGAGCAGTTCTTCCAGATTTGTCTGGACTGCCTTCAGATTTATTTGTTTACAAAAATAAAGTGAGTTATCTTCTCCCCTTTACACACCTCCAAGGCTGTGAATGTAGTGGAGGTAAGCTCACAGTGCACTAACAAGAACTTTATTTCTACAGACACATAACATAGAGATGAAGTTGTAGCATTCTGAAACCCATTCAGCTCTACCTTATGGATTTAATTCTACGTCAGGAAGCAGCGTGCGAAGTGTACTAACAGAAGATTTGAAAGTTGCAATGTTGTTTTACGCTCATTCACATGCTTGTTACTGCTGTACTGCAAGTGTACCTGAAATAGTCACAGGATGCAGCTAACAGTATCCGATGAGCCTCAATAGGTTTCTCTTCCACTACAAGAACTACATCAAAGAGGATGCTGCTGTCTCGGAGAGATACCAAGCCACTGAGCAAAGCCTGAGAGTGCTCCGCACTGCGGTATGTGTTGCTGGTGCGCTGCTGAAGGGAGGACTCGAGTTGAGCTTTGTGTGGCTGAGTCAGCTCCTGATCCTCCGCCATCCCAGGCAGAAATGCTCAGCCAAAAGCTGCAGCAGAATGAAATCTGTGAGACAACAGAATCAGCAAAGGTTTGTGTCTTTTGCTTACAAATGGTCCTCTGACTCATCTATCGCAATAAATAAATCAAACTCTTCAGTCAAAGAAGAACCATCAAAAACAATTCTACCCAAGAGAAATTATCCTGAATGATACTGAAAATAGACAGGGATACATCAACATATCAAACTGGCAAAACATGGCATTACTAATGATTTTTTGACTCCTGGTTTTCCAATCCAAAAGTATGTTGCATGTGGGGATGTACACATATTTTCACTTCCCAACCTATTGCCAATCCCCTTGTTTCCTTTGCATTTCTATGATGTCTCTAACAAACAGCAGATCTGTCACAATTTTTTCCAAATTCCACATTGCCTAATATCCTCAAATAACTTTGTTGTAAAAAAAAAAAAAAAAACAAACCTGCACCTTCGGTCTTTCACTTGATATTTTACCATAGAATCTGAAAGCTTTATTCTCTCCTGTTTTTTGCTTTATTTTCCTTAGCTGAGTACATTTCCATTCTTTACAATACCATTTGAAACTACAGGCTTTGCAGTGAGCTTCTTTATTGTGCTGACTTCATGCTAGCATGTACAACTCCTTTTGACTTCACTGTGGGTCTCTGCAGAGGGGCTATTTCCTTTGGTGTAGGCACTGTAGAGGGCTATCCCATACATCTTTGTACTGCTGCCACTGACACTATAGGAAGGTCCTTACAGCATATGGGGAAATGCCTGTAAAAAGCTAGCTGGAAGTCACTGTCTCATGCCTGTGGGTAAGCTCTCAAAATCTCATGATTCCTCTGTTAGCATCCTGTAATGCACTCTTTCTATTGTCTTTGAAGAATGTGAGAAGTTGCAGCAGTTAGATCTGATGGACTATGCGTAGTTGTCAGAGCAGACACTCAAAAAAACACATTAGCAAAAGGAAATACCTTAGCTGACATGGCTGCTTAAGGCACAGTTATAACAGCCTCTCCTCCAGTGGCTCTGGGAAATAGCTTAGTGGTGTGAGGGACAGACACAAGGGGTTATCAGCAGTCAGAAAAGCAAAAGCAGAACAAATCCAACAAATCCAAACAACCAATGAAGAGATGAAACCACTGCTAATTGTACCAGCCATAGACAGGAATGCCACGTTAGAAGTCTCCCAAAGTACTGCAAGGTATTCTGTGCATGGTCAGTGAGGAAAGAAGGTGTCTGGATGGCACAAAGAAATATCAAAACACTTATTGCACTGCCTGAAGGAAGTCACCTTATGCTGTCCAAATCAAAAGGAAGCTAGGTGCACTGCTTGCTGGGTGGGATGGAAAAGAATTGCAAATGTATATTAATGGTTGTCTGCTCTTTGCCAGCAAAACCAGGGCAAAGAGCTCAGAAGAGAAGCTTTGATGAGACTGCCTTCTAGGAAGCACATTCAGGTCGATTATGCAGGGAAGCTATCCATCATCAGCTGAAGAGATGAATAATGGATTCTTTTTCATGACAGGTAGATGTTTTTCCTAGAAATAAGATGACTGCCTTTGAAGCAGACAAAACATTACTGTATCATTTTATTTGCTCCTGGGAAATACGAGTGATAGATTGAGGCAAGGCAGATAATATTAAAAGAAAGGCAGATAAAGGAGTGAGCATTATTAGGTGTTGATCAGAAATTCACTAAGAATAAATGCAGCAAAAACAAATTAGGCTAAGATACTGTCCAAATGAGGAACAAATTCAAACAAACCACATGTACAGAGTTGATGTGTTTTAATGTGGTTAATGCTCCAAAAAATGTACCTTTTCAACAAATTAGGGAGTTGTACCAAAGTGAGCCTCTAAAGAGTGAAATAATTGCAACAAAAAGCAGAAGTACATGTAATAAATGAGCTGTTTTCTGAATTCTAAGACTTTTGTTGGACAGAGAAAACAGCATGACCTTTGATGCAGCCTTAGTGTGTGTAGGTGGAAGTGAGACTAGAGGAGAAAAGAAGTGTGATGTGCTACAGCTAAACTGGACGTTGCATCTGCTCAACAAATTTTAGTAAAGGCATGTGTTGTAGAAGTAGCTTATTATTAATATATATTATATAATTTTCATGGATTGTTGCCTACTTCCCATTGAACAGTGAGTGGGGGATGACCAGAAGGAATCACTTAGCTGATATACTGAGTGCCCTCAGTTGTATAAGAGGCAGCTGGGATTGGGTGGGTACAGTTGTGGAAAGTGGTTGCTTGAATGAGGGTGGGGGAAAATTGGGTTGGTGTTCTGGTTTTCTGAACTAAGTGCAGTGCTCTTGGTTAGCTGATAATGTTATGTATGTCTCTATAGTGTTAAATATAGACTACAAAGTTGCTACAGAGGGGTATCAGTGTTAGCACAACAGTGTCTTGCTTTGCAGACTATGTGGTCTAACTGCAGTTTTTCTCTAGTGTGTTTTATGCCTTTGTTACTGCCTAAAATCTGACAGTCCAACAGTGGAAATATGCTATTTCATGTGCAGAGTACCAGCTGGATGCAGGGAATCACTGCTAATATATCTAGGAATTCTTATGCCTTGTTAGCATTTGTCAATCTTAAAAATAACAAGGGACTTTATTGTAACTGTACATTATCTAACTCCATCTCAAATCTGCATTTTGCTCAGTCTTCTCTTTAGAGGGAGGAATAAAAGGGCTAAATGTAGTACAGGAGGTACAGCTGTGAATGAAAGTACAGAAGAGACTTGTTCAATTTCCTGCATGCTACAGAAAACCTTCTATTTACTATTTTTTCATCTGACCATACGTGAACTTTGTTATCTTGTAAGCCTGGAGACACCATTTTCATAGGCTAGCATATCCACCCTTGTCAGTGAAGGAGCTGAAAGCAGGCCTTTGCTTGCCATTACAATCCCTTGAGTCATACAGCTGAGTCTCTTCTGTTGTGGGCCTCTCTAGCATCAGCTTCTTGATAGCAGAATGTTCTTGTGGCGTTTCTATTCTACTTCTCTTACTGAGAAATTCAGTCTGTGACTGAGTAATGTTCCTAGAATTTTAGTATTTTGTCTTTTTTTGGTCCTCTTGTGTGAGTTTATCAGTGTTGGGCAGCTGTTAACTGTGAGATTCAGGGGCTGAGAGTTGCAGGACTGACCTTCAGATGGAAGGGATGAATTCTTTAACAGCACCAAAGACAAAAAGCATGTTCTCATGTGCTGTGGGATTCTGTCTCCAGAACCAATGGAAGGCAAGTCCTGTTCTAACCACCTTAAAACTGTAGATAAAATCAGCCTAGGGACTTTCTTAGCTGGCTGCATAAAGTCTTACAGTTAGGTTGGCTTGTATTTATCTTTCAAGGGGCATTGGTTAGTGGACTGACTAATACTGGGGTATTACAACTGAATATCTCATGCATAAAGAGAAAAGAGGTATATGAGGTCAGTAATTGCATGAGCACTTCTATAGGCAATGCTAATGTGGGGAGACACGTACTGTTTGGTCACTCCACATCAAGGAGATGAAAGAATAAAACAATCACCCCCAAAAAACCTAAACTCAAAATCTTCAGAGCTATCTAGCACAACAGGACTGCTCTTATTCAATAGGCTGAAATTTTATGTGTTATGTGCCTGGATTCTATTTAGAAACCAGGAGAAAGCAACCGTGCCTGCAACCATAGAGACAGAGGAAGTATCTCAAGGAAATGAGTATTTCCTATACTATGTTCAAAGTTCATTTTATTATTAGTGGTCTCTCGAAACAAGCTGCGGGTGCATGGGAAGCTAAGTATTTTAGATAGCTCTGTGATCATCTTGTATTCAATCTTCATTACCACAGCATGCTTCTGCAGAACGCTTGTATGGAAAAAAAATTAATTATTCAACTAAAGCAACTGTTTATCAATGTACAAAAAGAACTGTGGCTTGGTGTTTTAACAAAATGCTCTTCCTGATCAATGACAATACTTGCCTTTACACTAAAGGTATGTAGCCTATGAGGGGAGAAGTTGGCAGTTGGACAGGAAGAGTTGATGGAATACATAGTAGCTTGATCAGTCAAATAGCAAAATGGTGAGAGACTGGGATGCTGGTTTGCTCTTGTGCTCACTGAAAAACTTCATCTGTTTAAGAACACAGGGTACAGCAGTGGGGTAGCTCAACTAGAATGGGGAAAAGGAAAATTAAAGGTATGCTAAAAAACATATGGTATGGGACTGTAACACCAAGATGTTTGTGTACTCCTCCAGTAAAGACCAACCTGAGGTGTAGCAATTTATCTGGTTACAGTATATGCTTCCTGAGACTGAGAACAAAGTCCTGCTTCCCTACAAAATAATCTGTGCTGTACCTTCCAGCAGCTGGGTCTGGGCACGTTCTCAATACATCCTGATGTCAATATAGGTATATTCAGCCTTTACACTTTGCTGAGATATGCTATGCAGTGATCACATGCTTTAAACAGACTGTTGATGATTCAGTGTGTTGAAATCTATTATTGATATTGCATGGTACAGTAGAACCCTGGATTCTGTGACTAGCATCCAAGTCACACAGTGATGCTTACCAGTGTGTGCTGGGGGTGGTGGGCTGTTCTGAGAGCTTGGTTACAGGAGGGGGAGTAACCAAGTTCGTTTCTATGGAAACTCAGACATTTTTGTATCAAATTGCTTCTGGCTGTCAGTTACATCTCTGTATATGAGGAGGTATCTTACGCAGATCATGATATTTTCTTCTGCATCAGCTGTGCCCAAAATAAACTAGAACTTGCTGGTGTCGGGTATCCTAATGCTGTTTAGCTTGCTGCCATATGGACAGGTGGTTCAAGCCTGGTGGGGGTCCAACACTTTCTTAGAATTGTGGGATAATTCAGGCTGGAGAGAACCTTGGGAGGTCTCTAGTCCAGTCTCCTGCTCAAAGCAGAGAGAACTTAAAAGTCAGGTCGGGATGCTGATAGCTGTATCTAGTTAAGTGCAGAATATTCGTCCTTTGTGATATTTGGAAAACTGAGTGCTTGACCATCAGACTTGTTTTCTTTTTTATTCTGTCTGAATTCCATTCCTGCAGGTTATGGGATTTGCCCTTTCATCCTCACTCTGTGCATCGAAGGGAATGCAACAGCCATGCCCTAAGGCTTCCCACACCTCCCTATCTCCCAAAGGAGTAGGAAGAATTAGGATCTAAGCCAGCCTTCAGCTGACAGCCTGATATGAGACAGCAAGATACAACACTAGAACAAAATGCTAGTTATGCTGACTCTCAGGGGTTGCAAATGTGAATAGGCAGAACCTGGCGAGGTACCAGAATTCAACAGGGCAGAGGGCATGCAAACAAATAAATCAACTAGTCAGGGAGCGTGTAGAGTGGGGAGGCAGCTGGGTGCCTGCCAAAATAGCTGAGAAAAACAGATGTAATGCCACAAACAATGCAAACTGAAAAGCAAAACTATTGTTCAGCATAACTGGAGTGCAAATACTGGAATGATTTACCAACTATACCATGATTTGCAATAGGAATTTGTGAGTTTGTTTGCTATGTAAGAATGTGAGTATACCATTTTGTGTAGACAGAGTTAAGTTAGTTGCATGGCTTTTGAAGAAAATCGAAAGACAGGAGATATGAAAGAAAAACAAGCTTTGTGCAGCAGTGCTTATTTCACAATTATCCCTCCATGCAGTCACAACTGTGTGAAAAAAATATATATCTTCCCAAAGTACCTTTTAACTTAGGGAATCTTCTACAAGTAGGGGAAATAACCCAAACAATTACTTTAGTCTAAGGTCCTCACAAAAAGAAACAGTGGCATCTGGTACCACGTGGCATCTCAGTTTTAGTTCTGAGCACTCAGTGATGGGAGTTACAATTTTGGTAGGCCCACACACGCCATCTTCTTTAAGTCACCAATGCAGACATGCAAGCACATTCCTCCGAGCTGAATTTCTGAGTCATTTTCAGTTTCTAGCATTAGTAGTATACTTGAAGTGTGGGAGGAAACCTAAAGGTGTAGTTTGGGAAACAGCTTCTGCAAATGATGCTGTCTCACAAATGTTGATATTCATTCCTTTCAGAAACAAACATTTGTTTTTTTTCCCCCCGTGCCTTTTACAATGTATTTCTAAGACACACTGAGACTAAAACATCTCATTTAACATAGATATGGCAAAACTTCCATGAAATCTATTCGTATTTAGGCATATAAATATTTTAAAAGATTTTTTTTTTCCCCACAAGCAGCATAACCTAAAGAGCATGAGCTGCCTAACTGGAATATTTTGCCTTACCCACAAACTGATCATCTCTTTCCTGTAGCCTGCCCAAATTCATGGAGCTGTGAAGTCTTCTGATGGGTATTTCTGGAAGGTGCCTTGTGGCCCTAATAACTACCAAAGGTAAGTTGCAGTAAGGGAAACAAATTCAATACAGTGCTATCTCATACAATGAGATAACAATCTCAATACAATGCTTTCTCCGGAGGCTTCATCATTTCTTTCTCTCTACTTTCTGGTTTGAACAGAGCTGCTGTTGTGTTTGGAAAAGGAACAGCTATGTTTAGACAGCATGTACCTGCCCATCCTCAAACCTACATTAAGGCTTCAGCTTTCTCCAGTCTGAGGATGGAGTGAGGTCCTCAATGTTTAGCTCTACGTCTACAGAGATCTATAAACCTTCCACAGAACCAGGCATAGTTACTATGCCAAAACACAGCTGATCAGTTAGCCAATGTACGTGCTCTGGGACTCTTGAGAGGCTTGGCGAGCTGGCAAGGCTGCTTTGTTGAACTACTTCAGTCACATCATGCATTTTTAATTGCCTAAAGTACACGGAAGAAAAAACGTTAAAGAAGTAATTAGTTCTGTGCCAAATACAATTAAGTGACCGGGTGGAGAGCAGAGGGCGCTTCCAACACATCTAAACAGGAATTCATTTGCGCTGCTCACCGTGTTTGTTTCTTTCTTTCCTGCAAGGACCTGCGTCGTTTGGTTGTTATTTCCCCCTGTCACTCACACATTTGAACACCAGCACAACAGAACGCGCAGTTTTCTCTACAGGAGGTGCTACCTGGAGCTCACAGAAGCGCTTTGATTCTCCCCCAGCCGCGTGACAGCGGGGTGAAGGACAGTTCAAGCACAGCTCTGCTTTTGCTTTCCCTTCCCCTGCCGACAGCGCCTTCGGGCCCGCGCCCCGCACCGCCCCGGCTCGCTCACCCCACGCACCCCGCGGGGCCGGGACGAGGCGGCCCCACAGCCCGCGCCCGGCCCCCCCGCGCCCCTTCCTTCGGAGTCAGCTCAGCCCGGCGCCGCCCCCAACCCCGCCGCCCCACCACCTACCGAGAGCGGCGGCGGCGGCCTCCGCCTGCGGCTTCCGCCTTCATGCGCCCCGGAACCGCGGCGCCCCCGCCTGACGCGCCCGCCCGCCGGGGGAGGGACGGACGGCGGCTGGAGCCGGGCGTGGCGCGCGAGACCCGGACACCTGCCGGCACGGCGGCGTCCCCGGGCAGCGGCACTCGGGCCCGCCGCCTGCGCAGTGCGGCTGTGCGCTGAGCGGGGCCGGCCGGGCCGCTCCCGCAGACGGGTTGCGTGGAACGGGACTACAAATCCCGGCGCGCCCCGCGCCGTGCCGAGCTACAGTTCTCGCGAGGTCTCTAGAGCTAACGCCCGGACTTCATTTCCCTCCGGCCTTCAGCGCGCCGGAAGTGGCGGCGCGGGACTTCCGGGCTGCCGTGTGGGGGAGCGGCGGCGAGGAGCGCGGCGCTGGGGTGGTGGTGGTGAAGGCCGGTAGCGGGCGGGGAGCGCGGCGGCGGGGATGGACGTGACCGGGCCCGAGACCGACTGGCGCAGCACCAACTTCCGGCAGAAGCTCGTCAGCCAGATGTGAGTGCGCGCCCCGGCCCGGGTGTTGGCTGGGCCGCGCCTCGGCCGCTGCCGGAACGGCTCCGGCGCCTCCCGCTGCCCCGGGGCTGCCCGTGCTCGGATGGCCGCGGCTCGTCCGTCTCCGCTCTCCGCGGGTCCTTCGCGGGTCTCTGGCTCTGTCCGTGGTTCTTGCTATCCCTGCGTGGGGCCTTCAGCACCGGCTTCTGCTCAGAGCTCGTGCGGGGGGAGCCGGCTCTTGTTTGGCTTCGCTTCTCCGATCCCCGGTCCTTTTTGCCTTCCCCGGGCATAGCGGCTGCTTGGCCTGCTGGGGATCCTCTGTTTTAGGATTTCCACTTTGCGATGCTTAGTGCTGCCCGATCTGACGTGCTCTGTTCTATGACAACCACCGTCGTTACTTTGCATCTGACTTGTAAACAGCAAAAACGAAATGAAAACGTCAGCGACTGAATTTGTTGGTTATTTGGTACGGAGGTTGCTGTTCTAGACAAGTGTGTTCGTTAGTATCTGCCTGATGTATAAAGGTTGCTTAAAAGAAATAAAGTTCAGCCTTTTTGGTTGTCCAAAAGCAATCTCTTTACTTGAATTACTTTGCTGCAACCTGCTTTTCCTATTACAGAGAAGGTTCTTTTACCTTATGAAAGCTGGTTATCATAGAACTGAATGCGTTTTTCAAATCCCTGTTTATGAATGCTTGAAGAACTTTGAGCGTGCTTTGTGCTTTTTGAAGGCAGGGCTTTCCTGACTGATGTTTCAGAGTTAATTTTATGGTATTCATGACAGATATGATGTCTGTTTGTTGAAGCTTTTTTGGTGTTTAGAGCTGATGTTTTACTGTCTAAACTTTGTGCAAGATAATTTATCATGTCAGGTGAATCTGTTGTGTTTTCCTCTTTTGTACTTCTTCATCAACACAAGCAAACAGAACTGCCTTGCAATGCCCTGCAACTTAGAGGAAATGAATACAAATCAGCTGATACATACCTTAATGCAATGAGCATTTGTTGTCTGTGTGTTTGCTTTGCAAATTGCGACTGTTTTTCTGTGAGCAGGAAGCAGCAATGATAAATGTTTGAATGGGAAGCATACAGTAAGAGACAGAGATTGAATAGGACAGTGGTGGAGAAAGTAGAATTAAGATTTCTTCTGTTTGCTTAAACACTTGCATATGCACACAGACTTCTCTTTTATGATCTGTGTACTTTTTGTTACAAATGTATTGATGCATTCTTTTTTTCCCCCAAAGGCTGTGTTCTGCAAGCAGTGTATCTTCCTTGCACTTCACCCTGCTTTGTAGTAATACTTCTTACGTTTTCATTCACTAGCTCATTTTAAGAGCAAGCAAATTTGTTACTGGGTGCAGCGATTACAGGTTTGGTTGTGTTTTTTAATTTTTAAAGTGTATTACTATGTGTTAGATATCTGAAAATAAATTTCATGTTGGTACTTAAAGCAAAGTTACCCAGGAGTAGAGTTTATAATAGCTAGGTTTATTGAATGAGAAATAGAAGCAATATATTGCCTAAGAAGACTTGAACTCTATGTGTAGCAAGTTCTTGTTTTCTTCCATAAGCTTCCAGTGAAGCTTATGTAGTATTTGGAAGAAATTAGTCATCTGAAAGTTTTCTGAGCTTGTGAGAAGGTTGTTCATAACATGTTTTTGTGTATGTATGTCTTTGAGTTCATTGTGCAAATGTAAGTGATAGGTATTTGTCAGCTTGATCTTAAAAGCATGGAAGGATTTGCACACTTTGTTTTGAGTAGCTCATTATAGCTGCTGAATGTGGAAGTCTTGATTTATTGTTATTTCGCCTGGATCTCCCTTCCAACTCTGAATGTTAAGGTACATACAGGTAGATACAGATAGGTATTTAGAATGACATTACATGAAGAGAAATTTCAGGGATGCTGTGTGCAGTTGGTATCTTAGTGAATGTACCTGTGATCAATGTGTATCATTTGGTTGTCATCACTTGAGAGAACATTGCATTTGACTTAAGTAGCCCCATCCAATATTAGCTTGTTGTGTGACTGCAGGCCCAAGCAGTCGCAAAGGACTCTTGTTGGATCCAGGAATGCCTCAGCACTCAGCTGGGTTCTTCTTTAGTACTGCTGATTACACAGCCACACAACTGTGTTGGCATAACCTGGCAGTGGAGGCTTGTGGAGTCTTTGAAGCGATGAAGGGGTTGATTCTGTGTGCACCAGGAAGGTGATTTTCCTCACTATAATACTGGGAAGAAGGATAAAGCTAGAAGTAAATCTGTGCAGAGTCTGGGTAGTCTTTTGCTGTCTCCTCTATAGCCAAAAGCAGCATTGTTCGTGGCTGATGCTGACCCCAGATGTTTGGGAAACTGAGAAGGAATAACTGCATGCATCAGTTCAGGTTAGGGGCTGGAACTGCTACAAATGAGCTCTAAGAGAAGAACCTGGGTGTCTTGCTGGACAGCAGGCTGGCTGTGAGCCAATGGTGTGCCCTTTGTAATGCTCTAGAATGCAAAAAATAAATGCTAGATAGATATACATGTAAGAGTAGGTAAGTTGTTTATTGTGGATTTTTTTTTTTTTTTTTATGATCCTAACACCACATTGGTCACTGTCTTTGTGTGGCCATTTATCTGTGTGTTACTTTCTTTACTTGCATTTGCATAACCTTGTCTTTCTGCCTGCTCAGTTCTTGGTGCTCTCAAAATAAGAGATGTTTTATAATGAGACTAACAAGTTAATGATGAATCAGAGCATAGTGTGGACTTAGAGGAAGGAAGCCTTTCTGAAAGAGAAACTACTGGAAGAAGGAAGGCATAAATGAAGAACTGGATGCATTTTCTTCCACTGCAGCAGAGTCCCTTTATAAGTTGTTCATTTTAAGGCTTGCTTGCCCATGAAACAATAATTACTATGCTTTATGCTCAGAGTCTGCTTCATTTGAAATAACCTTTATGTATAAAGAGCATTTTGTAGTGTCTATCAGAACACATGAGCAAGTTACCATGAGGAAGGCTTATGCAGGTAGCTATGCTTTACTGACTAATCTGCTGTGTCTTGCAAGGAAATATCTACACACTGCTAGCCTGCTGCTCTGCATTGGTAAGGGTGTGAGTTTTGGCAACTGAAGCTCCTGCATTTTAAGGCTGTTGCATCTGTTCTGCTCACTTGTGTGAAGGGTTTACTGAGTTATTTCAGGAAGCTGAGCTAGGCCACTGCTCATACAAACACCAGCCCTGCTGCAAGGAATGCGGTCAAAATTCAGGGGGAAGAAAACAGTAATCTATTTCAGGTTGACTGAAGTTTTCCATACCTTGCATTTAGTGTAGGATAGTTGCTCATGCAGGAGCAGGTACTGAGAAATAGGTTGCTAAGCTATTAATTACAAGGTGAAAGTGTTTCCTGGTAACTTGTTTGTGGAATATAGACTGTAGCTACTAGGCTGCTTTAAAACAGAACAGGTTTTACAGTGAATGAGACATTTCCAAAAACAAATACGTCTGTAGGATTTGAATAGGGAGGGCTGTTTGCCTGTCTGAACTCCTGATTTTAGGACTTGTTTATCTCGGTGCATTTTTTTGCAGTGGAATTACTTGCTTCTTTTTTATATACTGAGAATGCCTATTGTTCTCTATCATAGCAGAGAACATTTGTGTGTGGGATTTATTTCCTTTTCATCTTATGCTTTTAATTTCCCATCCAAAGGGCAGACCTAGGTCCAGTTTACTAGAGGTTTGATGGCTGTGTGATTCTGGATAGTAGAGAACTGTAAGGTTGGGGGGGAAGCTTTTTATGACCAATTTCCATCAATAAGGCCTTCTCATCTTACTGCTTCATCCGCTGCTGTCATGCTGATTGTCCCCTCCCTTCTGTGCACATCTTCCCTTCTCTGTCCTGATCAATGCTCCAACTCCTTGTGACTGCTCACTGCCTGAAGGCAGAGATATTCTACCAATCTTCTTCTAATTTTTCTACCTTATGTTTAGAAGAGGATAAAAAGCTATTGTACCTTTCTAACTACAGGAAATATATATATTTTTAATGTCCTGAGTTAATGCTCAGCCTCATTTCTTCTATTTTTCTTTTCCAGTGATGAAGCAATGAGGAAGGCTGGTGTTGCCCACAATAAGTCCAGCAAAGATATGGAGAGCCATGTATTTATGAAGGCCAAAACAAGGGTAAAACTTCTCTGTTTGTTTTCAGAAGTTACTGGTATGTCAAAATCTTGGGATGATCCACAGAAACAGCAAATCTAGTGCATGTTAAGAATTGGTCTCTGCTCAGAGTACCTAGTTATGAAGATTTTGGGTTTATGTGTGTTCCTCTTACGCTGGGGGAAAGCTAATCATTTTGCAACTTATGGGTGCAGCAAGCCAAGGGACTTGCTGAGACTGCAGCATTGAATGCATATATGGGATTGTGCTTGATTAAATTCTTATGGAGTGAATTGCATAGAAGTTTCTTTATCTACAATGTAGCACTATCCATAATAACCAGTTTGGTGATGGAGAGGGACTAAGATATCAATGAAAAGGATGCATTAGGAGTAAGACAAGAAGTAGTTCTGTGGAAATCTGGTTATCGTCTGCAGTTCTAGACTCTACCCAAATGTGTAAGCTTCTTTCCTGGAGTTCTGTTACAAGAAATTGGATACTGTTACTGTCTTCAAACATGATGTGTTTGAGGTGGAGCTTGCGATGTTGAAAGCTTTGTGATGCTTATGTCACAAGTTTATTCCTGCTAATAGCCTCTCTGACCCTGGAAGTGTCATCTCAGCACTGTGACAGATTCTTTTGTGCAGTTTGCAGTAAGCTCATAAATTGCTGCAAAGGCTGTTTGTCTTTTTGCTTCTGGCACTTCTTCTGGATGTTAGTTTTTAAATATAGTAGCTTGCTTGCTTTTGTAATATTAACAGCATAAGATAGCTCTTGTAATATAAATGTGACAAAGGACTAAGGTGAGTCAGTATGCCACGTGAGCAAGTTCAGTACTTAAGAAAAGGACTAGAATGGATGGAAAATGGATGTATTGGTATACAATCAAATACACATATTGTGATCCTATTAATGTGGCTATCATAGATATTATTTCCATTGAATTTTGTGGTTTGGAGCCTTCTTGTACCATAAACCTTCTGTGAAAGCATTCCCACTTAGCTTATGAAGGTCAGTCCCTGCAAATGAATTGCTCTGAAAAGCTCACAGTCCTTTTAAAGTAAAATTCATTAATGCTGAGGGCTAATACTGAAGGGCTATGATGTCATGGTTATCTGTTTCTGTATCCTGTGCTGAAATACTACTTTTTGCCTTTAGGAGGAATATCTTTCTCTTGTGGCCAGACTTATTATCCATTTTCGAGATATCCGTAAGTAATCTTTTTTTCCCCTAGTGATTGCTTATTAGAGGCATGGGAAATAATAGTAGATTTCAGGATTTATGAGTGCTTCTATGTGTGACTCATCACAAATTGCTTCAAAATTTTCCCCTATAATATACATGCTGAATTTTTAAATACTGTTTCTTTTACAACATCCATATATAATTTAAGAGCCTTTGAGAAACAATTGCTACTTTTGCACCTTCCTTTTAATTTTTCCTTTATTTTGGCTTTCTTTTCAATGTTTGCGTAGTGTTCTGATTACCAGGTTTGGTTAATTTAATGTGTTTTATTTAATTTGATTACAAAGATGGTTTTTGTTTGTTTTTCCAAATCTGCTTGTAACAGCTATAATAGAGCTGTCTGGGATTATGGATAAATTGTTTGGGAATAGGTATAACTACAGTAGACAGTGATTTTTAAAAAGTGATATGTATATATATGTGTGTATGTGTGTATATATATGTTTCTTAAGGAAAGTATATCTGAAGTGCCAAATCTCTGTGTGACAAGATTAACAGATGTAATTAATGTATTTTTCTTTTGCAGACAATAAGAAATCTCAAGCCTCAGTCAGTGGTAAGAGATCTTTTTCTTCTTTTCTTTTTTTGCTTTCCTGAATTGAATAACTCAAAAACTGGGTTTTTGTACTGAGAAGGTGGTGAATTTCCTAGCTTGAGGATGGAAAGGTACCTTAATAGCCTCTTGTGTCTTCTGCCTCCGTGGTAACTCTTAAAGCAGTTAGACTAGGAACTTAATATAATGTTCCTAATAATGAAGTAAACAAGTATATCATTATTATCTCCCTATAGACTAACTGTACAATGGCTGGGATTGATCAGCATCTCCACCAGACAGTTCAAAATTATTTGATAATCATTCTAAGGAAGGGAGTGTGTTGCATTCTGTACCTGATCAATACTATTTGGCACCTCATGTTCTATTTTGCCATTTTGAATTGCTTTGACTTCACTTTTCTTCATGCCCAGGATTGAGATTGTAATAATTCTCTTGAAAGGCACTGAATATATTCACTGTATAAAATCAAAATGTTATGATGGAAACTAGGGGAACTGCTCTACAAAAGTACTTTCTCTGGTTTAAGCACTGCTTCTCAGGAGGAGGAGGTTAATTGAATCCACAGTTGGAACTTTGTTCTTGGTTTTTGAGATTGAGTTGTTTACCCTCACAGGGCTTTGCTGGCATCCTGTTTTGACTTGAATAGACATGCAGAGGTGGCTAAAGAATTCCCTTGTCTGATATATTTGGAATCTATTTGGAACTTTGCAAATCTGAAGCATTTTAAATAATCTTCACTCTGTTTACAGAGAGGTAAAAACCTGCGAGAAGCCTCTAGCAGTCTTGCAGTGAGAGTTAGGGTTTGGATCTAGTTAGGGTTTGAAGCCAGTAGATCAGAGAATGGGTACTGAAAAACAGAATTTGGGGGAAGCAGTTGCATGGCTGGCTGCATATTGGTAACTATTTTCTTTGTAGATCCGATGAATGCCCTGCAGAATTTAACTGGGGGTCCCCCAGCAGGGGCGCCTGGAATGACCATTGCTTCCCGAGCTCAAGGAGCACCGATGAGTGGGATGGGTGGCCTTGGCCCAATGGGGCAACAGATGAGTCTCCCAGGACAGCAACAGCCTCCTGGAAGCACGGGAATGGCCCCTCATGGTATGCCTGGTGTCTCAACAGCTACTCAGCAGAGTAAGTATTCACTCTGTTTCAGTCACTAAAACTGTTGTGTTAGTCTTTCAGTAAATAACTCTTCTCCACAAGGATAAGGTGCTGAAGAATTTCATACTTCTGGTTATATCTTCTGCTGGAAGAGTTGATTTCAAATAATTCTATCTACTGGGGTAAATGTCTTTCTTAGCATAATGAGGGAGAGTCTGTCTCTTCTGTGAGCAAATGCTTCTTCTATCCTCCAAAGTCTCAACTTCAGAACTTTGTTCTATGGAATCCACTTTTTTGTGGCTACCGTGCTTTCTGTTAGTGACCTCTGTGCATGTTTTCAGTAAGAACTCTTACTTCTCAGAGAATTCCATGGGTCCCATTGTGGTCCTTCCAGGAGATCTTTTAGCCACACAAGTTCTTACACTCTGATTTGGTTACTGACTCAGTATAGGCAGCAAGCTGTAGAGGTTGTTAGGAAGGAGCGTTGTTGATTCTGCTGTTAATGTACCTTGTCCATTTGAGGATGCAAAATTATATGCTGGTCATGAAGAATATCTGCATACTTCAGAGTTATATTTGATTATTGTGAAATTGTACTGTGTAACTGTCTCTTGTCTTGTTTGGGTTTCATGTTTTTAAGTACAGTCTACCACCTTTTTAGCCCAACTTCAGCTTCAGCAGATAGCTCAGCAGCAACAACAGCAGCAACAACAATTCCAGCAGCAGCAGGTGGCTTTGCAGCAACAGCAGTTCCAGGCCCAGCAATCAGCCATGCAACAACAATTTCAGGTGCAGCAGCAGCAGGCAGCAGCAGCTGCAGCAGCCCAACAGCAGCAGCAGCAACAGCAGCAGTTGCAAGCCGTCCAGCAGCAGCAACATATGTTGAAACTGCAGATGCAGCAGCAGCAAAACCAGCAGCAGGTGAAGACAAAATAATTAAAATGGCAATTGAGTTGATCTGTGATGAGTTACAAGTCATGTGAAGCTTAGCTTGCATGGAAGTACTGATTATCAGCTCTTCCCATTATTAACACAATTCCAGTTTGGAACTTTCGATTGGCAACGATACATTGCATCCCAGAGGAAAGATTTAACAGTATAGGTTTTTCGTTGCTTTCTTCTGTTATAGCAGTAGAGAATTAAAATCCTTTGTCTCTTTCTCTTCATAAACATCAGGACAGTGTTTCATTCTGACAAGAACGAAGATGTGGGAAAGAACTAAAAGCATTGTGAATTGCACATTCCTACTTAAAAAGTGTGTACTGAGAATTTATGTGCATCATCCTTAGGTGGAAAAACAAAAGAGGAAACTTCATCTATCGTGCTTCTGTGCAGTTCTTGTAAATGTTGTTGCTGATGTAGCCTGGTTACATTTAAGAAGTGTTTCTAAGCCCATTTTTACTGAAGAAGCTGATGGACTTCAACTTTGCTTTTGAAAACTATTTTAGTATATTTAGGCAGGCTTGTAATAGTGAAACCTACAGGTCATGTGCACTATGTAGAGTTGAGATATCTGAAAAGTGAATGGATAAAAGAGCTGGATATACAGGCTTGAAAATGCGGTCTGACATATTAGGATTCTGTTTGCTGTTGGTTTACTCTGTAAAAATAAGGCTGCTATTGCATTGCTGAAAGCTTTATCGTCCTGGCTTTTCCTCCTTTTCAGATGCAGCAGCAACAGCAGCAGCAGCAACTACAGCGAATTGCCCAAATGCAACAGCTGCAAGCAGCACAGGCTATGCAGGTACAACAGCAGCAGCAACAGCAGCAGCAACAGCAGCAACAAATATCACAGCAACAAATACCACAGCAGCCACCTCAACAAGTAATGCAACAGCAGATGCAACAGATGCAGCAGCAGCAACAGCAACAACAGGTTGCTCAGGCACAGCAATCTCAGCTTCCACCACAATCCCAGCCTCAACCCCAGCCCATGGTATCTCAGGCACAGGCAATCTCTGGACAAATTCCTGGTCAGGTTATGCCTGTTACTCTCACCCCACAGCAGTTAAAAGCAATGCAGGTAAGGGTTCATGACCAGCTTATTGTGGGTTCATTAAGATCTGCTAGAGAAGAAAAAAAAAAAATTGTTAATAACAGCATGGGAAAAAGAATAGCTTATTAAGAGATCTGTAGTTAGATTATGAGTGTGGTCAGCAGAAAATAAGATGTTTTTGCTCAATATAAAGTAGGAATTTTTGAATTATGAAAGCTACTTATTAATCTCATGCTTTAAAAATAATTTCCTCTGTAGTTCTGGTTCAAGAGAGATCACTGTGATGATGATTAGTGTTCTCAAACATGAGCAAGTGTTTTGAGATGCCTTGTGCATGTGATTGGAGACAGTGTTGGCTCCTTAGCATGCTTATTTTGCTTCTGCTGCTGTGTTTAGATGATTTAGCCAAAGTTTAAGATACTGGTAGTTCCTACTTTGAAGATGGTGACTGTGAACATCTTACTACTTCATCTTAGAAGCTGAGTAATCCTGTTAATGTTGCAACTTCTCAAACTGTTGCATTAGTCAGCTATTTTTGAGCTCCTACCAGTTAATCTAGGAGTAGTTGGATGTGTGAATCCCTCTGAGTTGTCACAATGAATGTGTAAATAGTTGAAATCCTGATCATTAGTATGTGCTTAAAATAGTATTCTTGAGAGAGATCAACATCTGTGTGTTTGCCAGAAAGCTGGAATATCTAGTACTGTCATAGGAAGGCCTTATAGTACAGAAGAAATTGCAAGAAGTCATAGTGTGGATACGCAGCCTATGACAAGGTTGTTCCAAATGTTAGATGCATGGAAACTTATTTTCATAGAGAAGTTCAAAAACAGTTCTGGAAGTAGGTGCATGAAGCTGAAGTCTTGTATCCAAAACAAACTTTTTTTATGAGTATAGTCAATGCAATTGAAAGAGAAATGTCATACCCTAATCAGATGCGCATTTACTTTTTTCTGTCTTATACTCAAGGTAAGAGCTCAACTGGTCCAGCAGCAGCACGCAGCAGCAGCAGCAGTGCAAGCAGCTCAGGCTCAAGCTGCTCAGATGGGAGCATCAGCACAGGTAAGGGCCCTGGAGCCAGTATCTCCAGTAACAGGCCTGTAGCAAGTGCATGCCAAAGATGAGCATGGAGATGGGTTTCTGGTGGCTTTCTGATGAGGTTTAATCGGTCATCCCTATATAAAGGAAGTATGGGCTTTTATGCTGTTTTCCTTTTGCCTGGACTCAGAGGCAGGATTTCGTTGACAACCTCTCTATGCATGTTCTCTGTCCTTGGTAGGTAAGATTGTTGCCTGTAGTTACACAGGAATGCACAACAGCAAGGCAGCCTACTGTGGCCACACTGCAGTCTGACTCTTGGTTCCTGGAGTGCATCACCTCTCTTTTTGTTATCCTTTCCTAGAAAACTGCTTTGTTGTCTAAACTGATTTCTGTACTGTGAATCTTTGCCTGCTCTCTTAACTCACGTGTGTTCCACCTTCCATCTCCATGTACCAAGCATAAAAAGTAGCGTAGACAATGAAATCTTTCCATGCTCCCCTTTCATTCTTTTCATCTTCCATACTTCTGACTGAAATGGACTGTAGATATAGATGCTCTTTTTCTGGATGTGGATTGTTGAGAAAAAAACTAGCATGTGTCCTGAGTGCAGAGTTACATTAGAAAAAAAAAGTGCTGGGTGAAAGCTTATTGTCTAACAAACTTTTTTTTTTAACCTTCGATACACTTGTAGCCCCAGTAATTGTTCCTTGATGTGTATCTGGTGTGAAGGAAACATAGGGGAGAAAAACTGGGAGTGACTTGAGCTGATCCTCTCATTCCATTTTTCACAAGAATGTGCAATAGTCTTTCATGTTTTGCCTCTGTAGCGTTTCATGTTGAACCATTTTACAGACATGGGTAAGTACAGTTCTCACCATTTTGTATATGGAGAGGCTGAGGCAGACAGGTGAGAAGAGACTGACCAGGATTAATGCCTGGGAATACAAAAAGATCTCTGCCATTTCATGTATTGCACCAATTTTCCTTCATCACACAAGACGTGTTTTAGACTCAGTAAGATCTTCAGAAGTTTTTAAGTGGGCTGAGGGATAACAATTGGATCTTGAACATTCATCTCATAAACTTGTATCAGGAATAGTGTTTTGTACATCATCCTAACTCTCATGTGGCCCATGTACATGTGGGTGGCTAAGTTCTGTTTCTGGTCCTTTTACTTTTGTCAGTGTAACACTGGATATAAAAGCTGAGCAGTGGTAAGTACAATTGGTGCAGTATTGGCAATGTAGAATTCTTCTAAAGTTAAAATACATATTAAAACATTTTTTTATTTCTTAAATAATTTCCAGGTGAGAGCTTCAGGGACTTAGGGTGACTAAAAGGAGACACTGACTTGTTTTTTCCTTTCTACTAACTTAATGGTGCTTTTTCCAACCCCTAACCAGGTGGATTGTGCTTATGTAGAGTCAACTTAATTCTTGCCCTACTTAATGAAATTGTATGCCAGTGGCTTAACAGCACGGTGCATTTGAAAAGTTTTGGGTAAAGAAATGGTTGACAGCTGTTTTTGCATTGTGGCTTTATTCAGACATGTAGCAACCACAGGGATTGCTCATTGTCACAGATGGAGTTCACAAAACTGTGAAAAACTGCTGTGAAGTCCAATGATTAACTGGTTTCTTATACTTGTGTAACTATTTTCTGCGTATAGTGTTTTCTTTCAAGGTCGTGGACAATATTGCAGTACAGTTTTGATGTAGACTGTCTGGTTACATTTTCTTTGATTTATGAGAAGTTTCTTTTGAGACAAGATTTTTTCTTTGTATTTAGTCTGTTTTTCATTAGCAGCACAATTAATCTGCCTAGATTTCCTTATTTGGTTCTGGGAAGCTTTTGTTATAAACAAACCCTATCCTAATACTTGCTTGTTACACTTAAGCTTGGTCTCTAGGCGCTTTTGGTCTGGGAATTTGGGTTGATGTGCCTGTGTTTTTCCTTTTCTGTAAAGTTCCTAATAAGCTTTCCTGTGTAAAATAAAAGCAAGCCTAAATTCAAATATGGATCCATGTTAAGCTATGAAATTCTTCTCTGAAGTCATAATGACTGTTCAGGTGAATGCTATTCCGCTTGGATCTCCAGTCTTTGTGAGTGTGTAACTCACACAGATAAGCAAAATAGTGTCCTAGTGACCACAGAGTGCTACAGAAGTGCTTGGAGTACCAAGAGAAACTCCGTAGTGAACTGGAGTTCAGTATTAATGAAGTTGAAATTACTGTTCTCCTGCATATCCTTCAGATGCTCAGAATGCAAATCATCTGTTGTTGATCATCTGAAAATCAGGTTTGGCCTGTCTTTAGTAGAGTAATAGTGGCACAGAACTTATCTATTCTTACCAGAATCTGTGTATTTAAGGAATTTGGATCCCCTGGATTTTAGATGCAGGATTCTAATTGTTGTATTCCACCTCAACGTTTTTATCAAATAGCACACTTAGCATCTTACAGGAGAGAGATACTTTATTCCTCTGCTCTCTGGTTTTGTGGGGTAAAATTCTCAATATAAATTGATTTATTTCGATTTCAGCTGTGGAGAAAGATTTGCCTTCAGTTTAAATCTTTCTCAGAAGTACCTGAACACTTCTGGTTGCCTTCCTTTTTTAGACTGATGAGCTCCGTCATAGATATATTGCTTTGCATAAAACAAATATGATCTATTGAAATCTCCTTTCCCAATTACATCGAAGAGTAGCAGGTTTCATAAATGTAAATCAGCTGGAAGAATGGGAAAAATAAATTACTTTTGCTAAGACTGGAATTGGTGTCATTTATATTTATATATGCACTTCCTTTCCAAAGCGCACATTAAAAAAAAAAAAAGAATGTGTGCACATGTTTATTCAACCACGATACAGCAGCTGAAAGTCTTTGATTTAGAGTTGGTCCTGCTGGTGTTCAGTGGTTTGCCAGACAACCAAACTATGAATAAACTGCTAATTACTGTGACCTTGGAGGAAGTCATCTAAATCTGCACACTTTGGTGGTGTGGCATGAGAAACGGGACCAAGGTGGGACATTTGAGTCACCAAAACATTCCTGGGATTTTCACACGCTCCAGAGATCCGTGTGCATTCACAAGGGTCTGAGATGGGATGATTGTGCCTGGAAGGATTTTATCTTTTTTTTTTTCCCCAGCAATTTTCTTTTTTTTTCTTTTTTTTTGTTAGGGTTTTGTTGCTTCACCAGCTCTCATGTTGATAAAGTAGCTCTTCACTGTACTTTGTAGCATCCACCTGTGCTTTGTGCCAGTGCTGGGTTGTTGTGTTTGCTTGTGATGGCTGTTGCATGCTGTGTGTGTACATGTGCATGTGTGTGTGATGTCTGAAGCACTCTCATTTGTTTCTCTTTGGAAATCCTGTCTCTGACCATCCCTCTTTGCCTGGATGGAAGGTGACTGCATTGCGCTGTTGTGAACTAACAGATGTGCTGAATTTGACACTTATTTTCTTTCAGTTTTCTTTCCTTTTTCAGTCTTGCTACGTTGTATTTAATTTTATTTATTTTTTAACAATTGTAAGCACATGCATTCTCTGACTCTCTAGACGTGTTGCTGGCTGCTTCAGTCCATTTACATGGAACACTAAGCAAGAATGCCCTGAATCATTCACTGAAATGAGACTTAAGTCCTAGGTTAGTTAGGGCCTGTGTAGGTTCCTTGGTAATGTATACACTGGAAAAAAAAAGTGGTCCAGATAACTTCACTGTAGATCTTAAAACTGTCCGAGTTACCTGAATGCTACCTCAAAAATATGCTATATTTCCCATAAATGTTTATTACACTTTAGCTCAGAGCATATCTGGTGTGATACTAAGTAATGGAAGGCTATACAGTTATATATAATGTCATGGGTCTGAAAGGCACTTCCAGATGTTGCAGAGTAGTGTGTTCCTAATGCTATTTTAGAATACAAATCTAATGCTAACCTTAATCATTGAAGACAAATGCTGATACTTCAGGGTGTGCTCAGTCTGTACAACTGAAGAATCAAATAGTGTAAGAATGATCTTGAGGCAGATGTGGATTCATAAGAGAAAATCCGAATGTAGCCTAATAGTGGAGGAGTGGGTATCTGTCAAAATGCTGGAAATTACAAGGATGTATTTCATTTATTCTATGAGATACAAAAGGAAGGAAATAGCTTCTTCAAGTGCAAGTCCTTTTTGTTGTTTTGTAGTGTTACAGAGTCATAGGTTGCTCTGAAATTTTGCTCACTGTGGGTCAGCTCATTGGAGCATTACTGTTGGCTGTGGCTCCTGAACTGTCTGTTGTATTCTTTGACAGTGGAAACTGAGAAATGCAAATACTGCTAAATCCTTTGAGACCACAGTGAGGGAAAGTACATCAGGAACCTATGATGTTAGGGAGGCAAAGAAGCTTATATGGAGTGCTTTTGGCAGCAGTCTTAGAGCACTTATTTACAATAATCATAGATATTCAAGCCATCAGGCAAGATTTGGGAAAAACTCTTCCTGCAAATGGCAATGTTATCAATCTTTGAGCTACAAATCTGAACCTACGTATCAGCGCTTTCAAGATATCTAGAATTCATTAGGTTCTTTCTAAAAAGGGATAGAAGGGATGTAAAAAGAAGCTTGATTTATTAGCTAGCGTGTTAGGCTAACCGTTAGAGAAAAGCTCACTAACCTGCCCTTCATGCTCCCCCTCCCCCTAATTCCTGGAGGTTGCATGTGCTTCTCATCCTGCCAGTGCACTGCATTTCTTGTTTTGCGATTACTTTTGTCTGTTGTCCCTCTGTCCTCAAAGATGATCACCGCACCTATGGCCCGAGGTGGGATGCAAATAAGACCACGGTTCCCGCCTACCACCGCAGTGTCTGCTACACCGCCAAGCTCCATTCCTATGGGCGGACAGCAAATGCCACAGGTATTTACTGAGTCAAAGCACATCGTGTCAGGTATTGCACAAAGCGTTGGATGTGTGATTGTATAGAGCTTGCTTTCAAGCAAGGGGAAGTTCACCTTTTCGTGGAACGGTAACTTGGTGGTGTCAAAATATTGGGCTGTTGAGGTTTTTCGGATCCTTTTTCATTTCAAACAGCAGCTTTTCTGAGGGTGTGGGATATCAAAGTGTTTCCAAGTGGCATAGATCTTTTTTATAACGCTTAGAACTTTTTAATGTTTGTAGCTGATTCAAGTCACAAATTAGAACTATTAAATTTCTGTTTAATCTTTGTCCATACTCCACAATGAGTTTGCATTTAGGAGAGTCTCCAGAAGTGTTGCAATGTACCGTAATGCACTGGCTGAGTTGTGTCCAGGACCTTAGTTGTCATGTATTTGTGCTCTTTACAAGTGCCTCTTGCATTAATAATAAACTTAGCCCATTTCAGTTTGAATATCAACTTGGCATGTAATCAAGATCTAAGAAAAATTGAGTTCTCTTCCTTCACAGTTGTGAAGGAGAGGCTACCAGAAGGTCTCCACTTGTATGAGAGAACCTGTGTAGGCAGGCAGGCAGCACCTAACCAGGTGTTGCTGAAGATGCTTGAGGCCAGAGTACTGCATTTTCCTGGTGCAGGTCCTGGTCTTCTGAAGAACCCACAGCCACAATTCGCAAGCAAAATCTGTCATTTGAGGGGAGCAAAAGTGGGGAAAACTAGAATGAAAGAGAACTGAGTTCTTACTAGTATGTCATAAAATGAGGCACTACTCAGCTGAACTTTGTGTAATTGGTGCTGGTTTACGTATGCATTGTATTGTGGTGGTGGAAGAATGTTCAACTGCATTTTTAAACTCTGGTGTTTGTGAACCTAATGCATTGTTTTCCTAGATATGAATTTTTAAACTTAATACCAGGTGTGTAGTTTTACTTAACACTATTGCATTTTGCTTATAGGTTTAATGAAGGTTCCTTCATTTTTGCATTTTTGTTTCCTTTGCAATCTCTTCTGGGGGATGTGGAGCATTGGAAACTGCTTCTTATTGCTGCTGCATCAGGTCTAGTAGGCACAGCCTTTTTTTGTCATTAGTGTGCTAAGGTAGTTACAGTGATCAGAAAGGTGTGCAGGAAGGTACACCTGTCATTTCTGGTTTAAGATGTGCAATCATTTCAGTGCAGGTAACTGTTTATGTTAACTGAAATAAAACCCAGGCGTAGCTTTTGAACCAAAGGAGAATTTGCTAAGAGCTTAATTTGCTGTAGCAGTTTAGATTGTGTGAGACAATCATTTTTGGACTGACATGAGAGGGTTTCTGTTAGATACTTAAGTGTTAGATTGGCTTATATTCACTTCTAGTTTTAGTATTCAGTGCCACAGTGCTTTCTTGCTGTCATGTCTATGTTTATGGAGAGGCTTTGATTTCCAAGTGACTGTAGAAAATGATATAGAAAATTGAACAACTAAAGAAGGCAGAAGAAGAAAGGAAATCTGTTTATGAAAGTAGGTTATAAACATGTGGTAGAATGGGCAAGTGAGTAATTGTTGGGAAAAGCTGGTCTCACATATCATATCTTTTGATAGCTCTGAATCAGTGTGAATCTCTAGCATTTAGTGCCAAAACACTTTGCTCTAGTTCCAGGTGAATTAAAATTTGGAACTGTTGTCATTTACACCTCTTAGTTTTGTAAAATGCTTAAGCAACACTGTCTGCTGGATATGCTGTCATTACCATGTCATTAGAGCCCTTGCAGCTGTTCACAGTAGGAGTAAATGGCTGTAGCATACATCTGGTTATTAGTCACTCAGAATCTAAAGCGTCTGTCACCTCTGACTACAATACAAAAAGTCGTTTTAGAGTGTACAGATGGTTCTAAATGTCTTCTCATTTTGGAAAAGAATCTTGGTGTTATCTTGAAGAATCTCTTTCAACAAAAGAGCCAGATGTTTTATCAGTGTTTTGTGACTATTTGTTTTCATTCCATTTTTTTTTTTTTTCTGTCCTTTTATCATAAGGCTCAATTAATTCTGCAGTGCTTTCTTTTTTATTGTTGTTTGGTTGTTGGTTTCTTTTGCTATTAGTCTTTTTCAGCAAAAGAATATACTCACTGGTTTGGCATTACATTCCACTACCTCCTGGTCTTTCAACACACCAGAGAATTAGAAGTGAATTTTTTTTGTTTTCTTAGCTGAAGTTTGTTTTTCCCTGACTGAACATTAACTACAGTCACTATTAACAGCACTTCCTGAATAACTAAGAAAAAATTTTTATACAAATATGGAAGATTAATTTAGTACTTTATCTAATTACCAAAGCAAAAGCTAATGTACTAATCCCAATCTTTCTCCTGTGTTTCTAGTGTCAAAACTTCCAAGTTCTCCCTACAGATCTACTGCAGTCTGCATTAGCATGGGCTTCATGATTAATGCAGAAATCCTCAGCAGATACAGAACCTAGGGGAAAGAAAAGTGAAATATTTAAATAAAGCAAGGGATATGTTGGCCTGACTCAGAATATGGAAACCTTTATCTGAATTCCTTTGGAACTCTCAGTTGTTTCATTTTGTCACAAAAATGCAACATAGTGGTGAGCTTTTAAACCCAGTTTGCAACAATGGAGGCATGGCTGTACTTACTGGCTTAACATTGAAACTGTAAGTATTGTAGTGGAAATGCTTCCTAGAGTTTTTCTTTAAATTAAGTGTTTCTGTTCTTCCTCATTATTACCCATCACTTCCTTGCTGCAGTCTCCTTTTCCTTGCTTTTGGATTCTGCGTATTGTACTGGCTTATTTCTGGGAGCTTCTGAGAAACTGTCTGATGCTGTTCCTTGCCCAAGACTCAGTTAATTGGAGGTGGACCTCATAGCTAAGTTCATCTTCCAGTATGATGTACTCTAAATACTAAGAATAGCTTTGATTTAGTGGATATTATTAAGTGAAAGCTTCAGTTGTGCAAGCCTAAATATATTCTGGGCAAGGCTTCATAACACTATGGTTTCATATAGTGTTCAGGTAACTGCAGAGTTACGTGGTGTTCAGTGGGCTGTAGTATCTGTCCTTGAGTATGCTTTTGGATGCATAAAATCTCATCCTACAGTGAAAAAATGCAAAATTGCATGATCTTATATATGTTGAAAATGAAGGGTACACAAACTGTCTAGTAACCCTGGTTTAACTCTTGAGTTAAATGAGGAGCTAAATGAGTTAATTGGATCTAGGCCTCTAGAAGGAAGTTCTGCCTACCCTCTCTGAAGTGATTATGTATCAAATGAACTGCTTTCAAAGAATCATAAGGAAGTTTGGCATTGCATACTTCTGAGTCAGTTGCTGAAAAAGTTTTATGTAATATTAGGCATTAGCCTTTAGTGTTTTGAAATGAAGCTAGCAGAGAGCAAACTTGCTGCAAGAAGGAAAGCTGTTTGCCTATGCTTATACTTAATGAAGAGAGGTAATACTATTAAACAGATAACAACACTAATTCATTTTATGCTTATGTGCATAATGTAGTATGCTACTTTTTTTTCTTTGCTTTTCTGCATTTGTAATTTAATGTGAAGGGATCTTGACGTAGCAATAGATAAAGAAGCTTAAATCTGAGTAAAAACCTTAATGCAGCTTTTCTTCTTCCTTCCAAAGACACAAAGATTTAACTTCTCAAAAGTAATTTTATGTAACCAGCCTCAGACACGTTAAAAAGGCCTGGTTTTCAGGGAGTGCTAAACCACTTAGAAGTGGTTATAGTTCAGCTCCACAAAAATGGGTGCAACATCTGTGGGGGTAAGTTCTAAATCTCTTACTGTTTAGAAGAATGTTAAATAGAATGCCAAAAAGTCAGGAATTGTTTTTTGGGGTGCTTATACTAACTTCCATGTGATGTTGAGGTGGTTGATTTCTGTGAGAGCTGGACTGCTTTGCAATTTCAGAAATGCTTTTCCAATTGCTAGGGAGACACAGGTTGTTAAAGAATCTCGTTGTGGATTTCAGTTTGGTAGAAGAGATTGGGAAAGTAATGGAGTTACTGAAGATTTTTTTCTTTAAGTAAAAACAGTATTTCAGGCTGCATTTGTTTTTAAACTGATTTCACGGATAATGAATTAGCATCTTCAAGTTCATTAGTTTTATATTTGCACCTAGGTGAGGTTTGCTTTGGCTTGTAATGTATTTACTTTTTTGCATAGCTGTAATGTGGTATTCCAAGAAGGCATATTGTGTCATATTCAGCATCCTCTGAAAATGGGTGATTAAGATGGATAGTTAACAAACGAGTGAAGGACAACACCAAACTTGCAGTGTCTGTGAAGTGTTGGGGCTGGTAGGGAACTATTTTTAAAAGTGGTTTATACTGATGGAACGATTTGTTGATTCATGAAGGTGCTAATTGTTAACTCAAGTATTCTGTAAGTCACTGAATAGGCTAATTAAACATATCTTTTTTTTTTTTTTTTTATATGGGTAGCCTAAGGCCATAGAACTCTGCACTTGCCTTAAACAAATGTGCTCATATAATATCTGCATCACTGTACCATACTCCTGGCCATGATAAAGGGTTTGGGTTTTTTTAGTTGGTTTTAAGTGATGAAAGGGAAAAATGGCTTTGAAATGAGCACAGGTGGGAGATTGCTATAATTTGAACATCATCTGGCTATAGTACTTTATAGTGTGCAGAACAAACTTCATTGTTACCCAGAGTTTGGTGCTGTTCTGGAAATTCCTTATTTGTCTTTTTGTCCTTTAGGCATGCCTCATCTTTCTCCAAAGGTCAGAAAGCTGCTTCACTTTTTTCCACCCAGCCATTCAGTTTATACTGTTTTTCTCTCCACTCTGATTTGTGAAGCTGTATGAGACATGCTGATGGTTTGATTTACTTAATTGTTTTTCTTCTTTCAACATGAAGAGAATGTATTGAGAAGCTACAGTTAAATCTGACAGACCTTTGAAGTCTATAATCAAAATTCAAATGCAAAGGTTTTGTTTTTTTAATGATGGTTATTTCAAGTTAGAACTTTTTTTCTTCCCCTGCTTTTCTTTATCCTAGTTTGAATAAAGCACAGGTTTTTCAGGTGGCACTTCTGACACTTTAATTGCAGCATGTTGTTGTGGGAAGTGAAAAACAGTCATTACACAGTTATCCAAATTGCATGCAGTTTTAATTGTTATTTCTGGTAAAGTTAATAGGAAGTACTGCCATAAAGGCCTCAACAGGGATACAGATGGAACTGTTTCATTATGGAGAAGAACAGGAAACTAACATTTTCATTTCTTATAGGGCTGAGGATATGCTTCTCTCCATAGTTAAAGCCTGTTAGTTAGGTTCCCATTGCCTTCTCCCTTTTGTTGTTGTTGACCTTATTCTTTTTCCACATTTCAGGTCAGCCAGAACAGTATTACCATGATGTCATCCCCATCTCCTGTCCAGCAAGCTCAGACACCCCAGTCAATGCCTCCACCACCACAGCCACAACCATCTCCTCAACCAGGCCAACCAAATTCTCAACCAAACTCAAACGTCAGGTGGGTTGGTCTGTAACTTCTGAAGGTTTTCTGAAGGTTACCTTACGCTGTTTCCATTGAAGTGAATAAATTTTAAAGTGAACTTTGTGAGAGTGTAGCTGGCATTATGCCAAATACACTGTGAAAACCCATGTGTATAAGAAATCCTTAGCAAATCTACTCCTGGAGCTCCAAATTGCTATAGCAACACTTACTAAAAGTGTATCTGTTTGCAGACCGATCATGCTTCCTTGTCAGGCTCTGGCAGATTTGTTTTTATTCTTATTTTTCAGCTCTGGCCCAGCTCCATCACCCAGCAGCTTTCTCCCCAGTCCATCTCCACAGCCATCCCAGAGCCCAGCAGCTGCACGAACACCTCAGAACTTTAGCGTCCCATCCCCAGGTCCTTTAAACACTCCAGGTGAATATGAGATCTATATCACAGACCGTGAATTGGGGTATATTTTGATAACAGATTTCCTAGGAATTATTACAGTTATTATTTGGTATGACATAAACATCAAACAGCTCTGCTGAACAGCCAGCAATGCAAATAGTAGGCATGTTGTATGCATCATGGTGCTCTTCTCTGTCCCAGTTGTAAAAAGTGATTTCTGATTCTGTGAGTTAACATGCTGACTCCTCCTACCAGTGTTGTGTGCTCTGCAGTTTATAAAGTGCAGGCTGAAGGAAAACTGCAGCAAGTTCTGTGTGCTGATTTAATGTTTAATGTACCAGAGTGAGGCAAAATGAGAATCTAGGAAATGAAAGTTTGAAACCATTGGACTTCTTCAAGAGAAAAAAAAAAAAAAAAGTAGTAATAAATGGGAATTGCTACAGAGCATATTGTTATTTCTGCAAAAAGATTAGAGGACTGGAATGGTACTGAAGTTGTGGAGTGCAGCATGAATTATGGTTTGAGAGTTGCCACATTTCAGATCTGGATTCTCTTATCCATGCAACATGCAGTCTTTACTTCTTGCTAGGAAACCCAAACTCTGTCATGAGTCCAGCCAGTTCTAGCCAGTCAGAGGAACAACAATATCTGGAGAAACTCAAACAGCTATCAAAATACATTGAGCCACTCCGGAGGATGATCAATAAAATCGATAAAAATGAAGGTGAGTTTCGTTTTCATACATTTCTTTGTCAGCTCTTTCTGTTACAATGGAAGAAACAGTACATTACCTTTTTATGGTTGTTTCTATTCCAGGGATTAAAAATGACAATCACAGCTAACTATTTTACTAGGAGGAGTGGGTAAAATCCTTAAATTCCTATCAGTTTTCCTTCACATTTGATTTTTGGGATACATTCTGATAGTTTATGCAGAGGGTATGCTTTAACATTAGACAAAAGATCTACCTCATTATTTTATTCAATGTTTGCTAATATTTTCTCTTTTAACAGCATCATATGTTTCTGTCTGCAAGTATGGTAGTTGTCCCCATAGTCAATGTTTGTCTCTTGATATTTTTTTTCAGATAGAAAGAAGGACCTGAGTAAAATGAAGAGTCTCTTGGATATCCTGACTGACCCTTCAAAACGGTAACTTTGTCATTTTCAGTGGATAAAAGTTCCCTACCTCTTCCAGAAATTTTTTGTTTAGCATCTGGCCATGTTGGCATTGAAGTTGCCTGTGGGGCTCAGATAGCAGAAACACTTGAGCTGAAGTGCCCATTTTGTGGTGATGAACTTTGTCTTCTTCTGCAGATGCCCTCTGAAGACACTGCAGAAATGTGAAATTGCACTGGAGAAGCTAAAGAATGATATGGCTGTGGTATGTAATGCTTTGCTTAATAAAAATAAGCAATCAATTCCAAAAAAATCTTATAATTTAATAACTTTTTGTGGTTTTTGTTGCTTATGCTGTTATGAATTCAGTTGAGGTTGAACAAAATAAGAAAACAGAAAAAAACAGACAAGCTCTTCATATAAATCACCTTGTATGCATTATTTAATGGAGCTTTCAAATTCTTGTGTTTTGTGCAAATATTAGAGTAATTCTTTCTATGAACTTCTGCAGCTGATCTCAGGAGAAAGCTGCAGACTTATTTAATGTAACTGTATGCAGTTTTGAGAATTCTTTGCATTTTGTGCATTGAAAGTTGACTGCTGTAAAGTTTTGCAGAATGTTTCTATTTTTTGGTGATAATTAAGAGAAAAGGTGGGGCTTTTGTGTTTTAGCCTACTCCACCACCACCCCCAGTGCCTCCCACCAAACAGCAGTACTTGTGTCAGCCACTTTTGGATGCTGTCTTGGCCAACATCCGGTCACCAGTCTTCAACCATTCCCTTTACCGCACCTTTATGCCAGCTATGACTGCCATTCATGGTCCACCAATCACGTATGTATCAATAACTAACTTCTTCTTTATTCCAACTGTTGAAAGAATGGGGATGGGTTTATGGCAAGATGTGAGTTGTACCTTTTTATGCCTGTAAAATGTTTGGCAAATGTAGCGTTGGCATAAAATTTTCACCTAGTTCTATTGTGAACTGTATTTTACATAGGGCCCCAGTTATCTCCTCCCGAAAACGAAAATACGAAGAGGATGACAGACAGACTATACCAAATGTGTTACAAGGGGAAGTTGCAAGATTAAATCCTAAGTTCCTGGTGAACCTGGACCCCTCCCATTGCAGTAATAATGGCACAGTTCATCTCATATGCAAACTAGGTAAGAAGAAACTGAGGACTGAATTCAGAACTGATGTTTTTTTTTCTGTTGGCTGAGTTTTGAATCTTGCCAACCTGTGACTTCTGCGTGAAGTCTGTACTTATCACTGTCACAGAACAGCTTAATCATGACATTCCTGTACAGCCTGCCTTAGGTTACACCTGGAAATTTCATTCACAGTGACCAATCCTTTACTCACTCTGAGGCTGTAACCATTAATCTCATTGAGTGTGTAGAAAATTACTTGTTGCTAGCAACTGTCTTGATACCTGATCTGTGAGACTTGTTCTTATTCCAACAACTAGGCTAGAGCTGGAGAAATGATGAGTTAATTTTTGGAAGTTCTATCAATTGGTACTAATCATGACTGGTAATTATGTATGTTTGAAAGAGGAATTCAGATCACATCTTCCTTGTTCCTTCTCAGCTGAATAAGCAAAGGGTTGTAGTCTGTGATCTTACTTTCCAGATAGGAATCCAAGCAAAGTAGATTCTTTTTCGTCCCCCTTATTTGGGAAATCTGAACTGTTCTCATATTGAGCTACTACAGGAGGCACCCAATCCTCCATAATGAGGTGTCATAATGAATCTTAACAAAGGCCTGATGAAATGATTGACAATGTGCAGAACTGCTTAAGAGATGGATCTGTCTTTGTCAGGCTGTCCTTTCAATAAGTGAAATTCCAAGCAACGAGATTTCCATTTTTGTTTTAAAACAGTTTACCCCTTGGCTCTTTCGTGGGGCTGAGAGGCTGGAAACAGAGCTGAATTACATATTAAAAGAATGTCCATACAGGAAAAAAAAAAAAAGGCTTTATTCTGATGGAAAATGTGCTTGTATTCTAGATGACAAGAATCTTCCAAATGTCCCACCACTACAGCTCAGCGTTCCAGCGGACTATCCAGATCAGAGCCCTTTGTGGATAAAAAACCCTAGACAGTATGGTATGAGGATTCTAGCATGATATTTGGGGGCTTGTGTGTATAGTAGTATTGGGGAAATGTGAATACCTAATGTAATTTTTTTTTTAAATAACTATTACTTTTTTTTCCCAGCAGCCAATCCCTTCTTGCAATCAGTGTATCGATACATGACTTCAAAACTATTGCAACTACCAGACAAGCATTCAGTCACGGCACTCTTAAACACCTGGGCACAAAGTATTCGTCAAGCCTGCCTCTCTGCTGCATAATATGTCACCTTCTAAATCATGAAGCAAGAAATCAAGTCTCAACAGCTGGCCTTTTCCACGTACCATTTCTAAAGTCATGGGCATTTTGGGGAGGTTGCTTCAGAAGAAAGAAGCCTTACATTTTTTTGTTTCTAGATGTCAGCTTCAGTAGAGGACCTGGTATTAGTTCTAGATTTCATGCTTTTTATCTTCTGCCTCTGTGGACTTCTTTCAGCATTTTCAAATATGCAGAATGTGTATATATGGTTCTCGAGACTGTATTAGGAGTTTTTATTGTCTTCTTAGAGAAGAAATTATTTGTGGACTTCCATCAGGGAGTCTCATTGTTAAAAGAGGAAGCAGGGAGAGAATGCCCTAATTTACTTCAAAGTTTGCTGAGTGCCAGTATTCCTTTCACACTGTATGTTTTGTGACCTGATGCTCCCCCAGAAATAAAAAAAACTGCAAGTAGAACGTGCTTGCAAACTTCCTAGTGTTTGCAGGAATCTTTTGTCTATTAGCTTTGCCCTGCCCTGGTTTGGGATAAATTATAGTCTTTTAGGATATTCCTAAAATGTGTGAGATAAATCAGGATAATTATATTGGTGGGGGGAAAGACTAAACAGAAGGAAAACATATTTTCTAGCTTATTTTAAATGCTGCTTTGTATAAGTGGGTTTTGGTTAGCATGGACCACAGTTTTCTTGCTCCAAAAGTGCAGCAGTTAGAGGAGATATTAATGTGCACAATGACTTCCCATATAAGTAAATGTTTGTGTAAAGGTGAAACAAGTTTAAAGTTGTACTACCAGAGATCAATCCAGCAGGCTTGTAGCCATGTCTTCTTTATTAATGGAATAGAGTCAGTTTGAGGCATCTGACTTGCTTGGAGGAGTTGATGCAGTTTAGTGGCTACATGGTGAGTTTTGTTTTCTTTTGCTTCCTTTTTAAGAGAAAAGGACAAAAAAAGTAAAAACCAACAAAAAACCACACCACGTAGCTCAGTAGCAGATCTGACAACTATTATTTTGTGCCTTTAGCAATACAGAGCACAGAAGTTGGTTGTCAGCTGCTGTATTGCTGTGCATTTCCAATAAAAACACTTGCCATGAATAATTAAATTTGTTTTCTTTTTCCCCATTCTCTGTTTGTTTGCTCTTATTTTCTTAGTGCAGAAACAAATTCAGGTTTCAGATGTTCCAGTTATATCCTATTTTATCTCCCTGTATTGTGCAGCAAATCTTAAAGAGCAGCTGCACTCTCTCACAGTCGTGCCAAGAAATTGCATTCATCTTTGTACATGTGTGATGTTGGTTTTAGTATCTTTTTCAGTGTGGGTACTTAGTAACCACTAACTGAGGCAGCAGAATGCTATCAGTATTTTGTACATGAACTAATGCATTATCTGTTTGTTTCTATTGTAATAAATTTATTATTATTCCTGTGTTGGATGCTAACATTATACTACTCTTCCCATGTTGATCCTCAGATACCAGTTCTGTTGCATCCCTGGGATGATGGTTACTTTGTTCTAGGGTAAGTGAAAACTCTCACACTTTGAGGGTTAGGAGAAATCAAAATAGCTTTTCATTTCAAGCAGCACCATCTTTATGCTCCTCATAGTAAATTAACTGAAAGACCTGGGCAAGAGATTAGTGATTATGTCTGTAAGAGAAGATACAGCTTTTTAACCAGTACTGTTACATGGCTGCTTCTTAGAGCAAAAGAACCAGTGGTATCAATACAGTTCTGCTGGAGAGATGTTTTCATCACAAAAACTTTGGATGCTCATTGAAATACATAATTGACATAATCCAAGAAATGAGGATGGAGCTGTTTATTTTTTTTTCTTCTGTACTTTTTTTTAAGCATTGCTGGGGTCTAAAGTTGCAACACAGATGACGTTTCTGAATTTATTTAAAATCTATCTGGAGATAGATGCAAAGCACACTATAAATGTCCTTAAGTTTTCCACTACTTCCCTTGTGCAGTTGTGGCTTTCCTTCAAAGATGTAATGAGGTGTTAGACTTAGTGTGGTGTAGGCATTCTAGCATACTGCAGCATCTCAATTAGGAAATAAATACTGAAAACAGAAAATGAATCATGTGCCTGCAGCATGTCAAATTAATAGCTGGATAGTAACATAGCTTCTGTTTGTTTTGATGGGCAAATGATCATAAACTGTTTATGAAACTTGTTAAATATAAAAGCACTATTCCCAAATTCTTGGAAGGATGCACCAATAAATTAATGCTAATGTTTGGGAACTTTATCAAGTATCAGGGGCACTGTGAATACAGAAAACATGTTATGAAAAATTCAGGGATTCCTGGCTTTTAGAAGTAACAGATATGTTGTGAAATGAAAAATACGGAAATCTGATCCTCTCATTTCTTCAATAAATAGCATACAAAAACAATCATAATCAGCTCTTAATTGAAATGAGATGATGATAAGAGCTAAGGAATTTATCATAAAAGTACAGCATTAAATGTTCAAAGCAGTCATAAGCAAGATGAATAGTAAGTTTTGACTTCTAAGTACTGTTTGAAGGTGGTTTGTGTTTTGTTTTTCATTTCAGTGGTGGCAAAACTGACTTTCTGTAATGGGCAATGGAGTGGCAATCAAACTATTAGTTAAATAAATGTTACTCTAATTGCCTGAAACCATTTCCTTTCAGCTCAGTACCCTTCTTAAATTAAGAGGTTTTGTCCTATTGATGAGCTCCTTTCATTATTTGATGGAATGTCTTACCTGGCTTTTGGTTGGCACTGAAGTAGTTGGGCATAAACAAGCTTTTGAAATTAGTGGTCTTTTTGCATGGATTCAGATGAGGGAGTGACAGGGCATTATTCTTATTTTTAAATTATTATTCTGAAATGTCTTTCCCTTAATTCTCTTTGAGCCAGGTGATCTCACAAGGTTATTCTTCAAGCAGTCCTACTTCTAAAAGAAGAATATTGGAGAACAGAGACGAGTTCAAATCATGCAAGAAAAAAAATATTATTTTTAATAGGACTTTTCAAACTAGAGTGAACTTTGTGGCAAACAACTGATTCTATTATGTAGGTGCTATTTCTGTTCTTCAGGTACTCACTGTTTTCTAGGAGCTTTCCTGACAGGCAGTTTTGGCAAGCATGTAACTGTATTACTGAATAAAAATGTTTGTACATGTATTTTTTTTGTTACTTTGCTAAAGAAACAAAGCAGTGATTGTGATGTAGCCCTAATTTAGTTTCGAGAACAAGCTTAATGAATGCTATGTTTGAAATATCTAAATGTGTGCAGGTTATTTTGAAGGACAGAGTCCTCTACAGCATGGAATAAGTTGAATTATAGGTCTGGATAACTTAGTAAGTTCATAGAACCCCTCTGAGTTCTGCACCATGTGGCAAAATATCCCACACATCTCTAGATTAGACTGCATTGTAGATAACAATGACTTTGTGTTTTCAGTGTGATGGCTTGTTCTTCCCATCCTGAAAAGAAGTCACATTCACTCAAACACATAAGAAGACTTTTATAAAAATAAAATTTACATTAACTATTCCACACAACTTCATAGTTGTTTATAAAAACTCAATTGAATTTGATATTAAAAATATTTTAAGGTATCTGATAATTCAAACATTTTACTCATTGGATATCCTAGGATAATTATCCTCTGAACATTTATTTTTACATGTATAATGAGAGAAGAAAATTAGTGTTCATGTGGTTTCCGTCCTTCAAAGAAGAAAGTCATTATTACAGCATAAAGAAAATAGCTGAATAGGATAATGAACGTGCAGCCCACTGGCCCAATATAAAACCAGGATGCAATGAAGTACAGCATTAGCAAAGAGAAAAGAGTCCTGTAGCTAGCCAGAAATCTCAGACTGATTCTTGGTCCCCAGTTCTGGTTTCTTCTGTCCTTCAGCACAGGACTGTACCTGATTTTGTGTACGAAGCGAGGGTTTTTAAGATGGTAGCAACAAAATCTGCCAATAAAATCTTCCCTGGAGCAAAGCACATTCATCTGCTCAGCAAACTGAGGTAAGAAAAATTTAAACATTAGTATTCTACTGCAACTAATGGTATACACTAAGCATCACTTTATTTTACAGTTTTCTTCATTTGTAGCATGAATATATAGGGGGAAAGTGTTACAGGAAATTTTATGTATCAAATACACTAAAAGCAATTCTTCTATTTAACTCTGGACTTCTGTTGAGCCTATAATGCCTTAGGAAGGAAAGGCATGCTTTATCCTGATTTAGGAATATTTATTCTGAATTATATTCTCCTTGCTCAAACATAAAGATACATTTAAAATATTCTGAGCCTTTTGTGTAAGGAAAGCAAAATAAGAGGTAAACTAGCAGGCTTAATGCTATTAGGAAATATTTACGCACGCATCCATTACTGTGGGTGTGCAGTGGTATACACTAATAAAGGGGAGAGTGCAAGAACAAATCAAGCATCATATGTGCAGATGTAATAAAGAACAGGAATTTGCAGTGCTGTACTTACCCTTTCATTAAGTGCTGAGGATAAACGATACAGGAGGCGGACAAGAGTGGCATTTTCATAACTGCGTATGGGCTGAAGCTCAGTATCCCCTTGGTACTGCACATCAAATCTACGTAAGCCATTTATCATCTAGAAATGAAAAAATAAACCCTGTATAGTGTAGCTCCCACTGAAATGCCTTTATATTGGCAGCTTTCTTAACTCCCAGAAAAATTACGTTTCTTGTGATGTAGGACAACTTGTTTTCTCAAGAACAAGCTAGGGCAGCAGTATGGAATGATTCTCCTCTCACCTGGTACCGGCCAAGGGGTGTAAGAATGAGGCCATTCTCACTTTCAATGCAGTCTGGAAGTTGTTTTTTTCCATTCTCATCTTGAGCTGTCCCACACTTCATCATCATCTGGGTCAGCTGGGCTTCATTCAGCTATTGAAGAATGACACAGTGTTAAAGTACATTTTTAGAAGAAAGATCTATTTCATTTCCCTCTCTTTTCACAAACTCCTTAGCAGTGGATGCCTTTGACAGCCAGCACAAGTACCAAGAAATCCCTAAAAGCACCTTTGTTAGAAATAAAAAGGAGATTAAGTCTTGAGATTTCCGTATTTATCAAATCCCAGAGAAGTGTTCTGTTTGATATCCCCTTTCTCCAAGAGAGCACCAAAATAGCTGTCTTTTCAATCAAGTGTATGTAGCAAACAGAACTTAATCTGTTCTAAGTTTAAATAAAAAGAGAATATCTACTTCATCCTCTTATCTAGAGTTGCAGGTGCATGTTATGTTTCTCGTAGTTCTTTACCTCTAGAAGATATGGGACTGGTTTTCAAGTTTAGGCTGTGTGCTGTCTCTTTGTGAACATGAGAGTAGGTACAACTTAAGACTCAGGTTTCATATAAACTATGGAAGAGTCCATAAAATGGTTACTTAAAGTAGTCTTGATAATTAGAAATTCAGTTCTATTTATATGGAAACGTATTTTGAAGTATTTAGGTGAAATCAAGCCTAAATGATATTTACAAATTTTCTGGCAGGGTCACTGGATGGTTTTGTGACTCCAAAAAGTGTGAGAGCTAGAAGTGTATTTGAGGAATACTGACTCTTGTTTGTACTGCCTCACTAGAATTCATTAAAAAGGTTGCATACCTTAAAGATTTGACACAAGTATTCCAGTGCCTTTTCTAAATATTCATCTGTTTTTTTGATGCTGTCTTGTCCAATTTCATCAAGGTCATTGCCTGTGTAGGAACCGTTCATCTCAGATGGTGTGAACTTAAACCATGAAAAGAAGGAATGGCTAGCCATTGTCTCTGCTGAATGGTCTGATATGGATTTTGCTGTCTGCTGTGCCTGGCAGATCAGCTGAGCTAGTTTTAACACCTGAAACAAAGAAAGTCATTAAATATGAGCTGTAAAGGACCTTTAAGCATCAATATACATGGATAAAACCATGCCTTCACACTTGACAGAGGGAGCAAGCCCAGCAAACTTGCTTACTTAGTTCATGTGAACTTGTACTAGGTCTGTTAGTTGCATTTCCAATGAGGTGAACATGCATTCATTGAGTTTGAAATATTTAAGACACATTTTTATTCTTTTTTCCACCTGCTTTTCTTTTTTTCCTCTGCCTGCTAGTGTTATCAGACTGGCTGATGGATACTGTTCCATACAATGCATCAGAAGTTCATAGTAAACATTTGAAAAGAGAAACTCGCAAGCCCATATGTTAACTTATTTACCAAAGAGTAAGTAGATTTTTACAGCTGTGCAGAGTGAAGTTTTCCACTCCTAACTTCTATAACATGGATGCTATGGATGCTCAGAATTAAGAGACTGCCTGTCAAAATCAAAAGACGTAACAAGATGCCTGTTGCTTACCAAGTTCCTGACTTCTGTGCCAAACATCTGTTTGTACTGGAAGTCCTGTCCTTCCAGGCTGTAAACATGACTCTTCACCTTAAATGAGGCATCTGTAATAGTTGGAGGCCACGATGAGAAGAAGCTTCCACCAAGTGTGGGAGTCATAAAAAGTCGGTGTTGACGATGAGGAATAACAAGTTCTGGCTCCAGGAATAACTGTTCTCCTAAAGTTAGAGAAGAATAGTAGAGACGGTTATATGATGTTACAAGTTTTGCCTGAACAAAGTCTAGCTGCAAGGCATCTAAAGGCTTTTGGGTTAGGTTATTTTACATTTTCTTAAATCAGAATGTATCTAAATGCCACCTGTACAGACAGCATTTTAAGCCTACAATTAGTTTTCATTGAAGGCACTGGAGAATCATAATATTTAAAGACTTAAACACTTGTTAAATCTTGCCTCTCCTGAATTTCCTATTTCCTAGTATCCTTAAATGCAAATGTGACTAGCTGCCTATTTCTTTTGTTAAGCATAGACACACTGAGGAATAGAAGACAATCTAACCCTGAACTTAAATAACCAAGTAAGACCATTGTAAGAAATAGCAATTTTACTGTAAACGCCCAATATTGTGTTCTTTGTTCTTCAGGGAAAATTTGTGGAGTGAAATGTGATGGTGACTGTAGACATACTAAACCAGTATTACAAACTAAGGTGAAGACATGCAGATATTTGAATGGTAAAACGGCACATAAAATACAGAAGTATTCAGTACTTCTGAGGTACGTTGGTGCCTACTGAGATGAAAGAGTGAGACAGGACAGCATAAGATGTCAAAATATCCATTTACCTTTCAAGATCATTTCAGCTAGGTTGGGCTGAGCAAAGACCTTGGCTACTCGGAACACCATGAGAGCATTTTTTGGGCTGACCAAGTCTGTTCGAAGAGTTCTGTTCAAAAATCCTACAAACAGCTTAGTATACATAAGTAGGTTTTCTTGGATGAAGGCAGCCCTGTAAGGAGTGAGTACAGAATTTGTGAGTACAGCTACTTAAATAAGTATTCAGGAATTCACTAAGGGAATGTTTTTGTACTATCTCTGAAAAGATCAGCTGTTTGCACTGAGACAAAAGAATACACCCAAAACAAAATGTTATATTGTAAAAAAAATAATTTCTGATCTTGTGCAGGAAGCTAATTTACATTAGGGAATACTTCTCTGAAATCCTGGTGGTGTACTCAAGATTGCATAAACTTGAGACTTGTTTCAGACTCACAGCTGCTTTCCTACTTACCATTTCTCTGACACGCTGCGAGGCAAGAGCTCTGCAGTTTGAGGTGGCTTTTCAGGAGCATACCTCCATGGCTGTAAGTAACTTAACCACATCTCAAGAACCTAAGCAAAAACCACACATAAAAAAACAGGAAAGTCTTACTTGCACAGAAGCCATGGGCTCTGTAAAGTTTTTTGGCTGACATTTTGCCTTCTATGTCTTCCTCAAAAAATGTGATACAGCTGACTGTAGCTTTATTAAGCAATACCCTGTCTCTGTTACATCCTTTATTTTTCAACTCTTAATTACTTTAAATTACAACCTATTACTTTTCCTGCTTGTAGAATGTAATATTTGCAGGATTTTACTATCATAAACGTATTTCTGTTTATGATATACTGTATTAGATATGATGAAGAAATTAATACCTGCTAGAATGTATCTGTTTTAAGAGTAATTACTCTTTTCAAGCAACCACCACATTCAGAAAAAAGCATCAGTGTCAGAAAAAGCATCCATTGTCACAAAACCTATTAGTCTTTTTTTGATACATCTAACTGGTACTCTTTCCCTAACATTAAATGTACGTTATATAAGGAATTTCACTGCTTCAGGAAAAAAAAAAATACAACCAAGAGAATGGTGCTAAGCAGCAGTAATTGAGCACTAATTTTGTCGAGTGCATTCTCAGATAATCAGCTACATACCGCTCTGAAAGAGGCATCCAGTGGCCAGTGACCAAAGCAGTGCTGCAGAAAGATATAAAGTTTCTGCTGGACAAACCGAGGAATCACAACCCTGTAAACGGATTCAGACACAGTCAAACATACAAACCAACAGTAAGTCTTAAAATAACAACCCAATCCGCTTCCAGAAAGGTAAGTACAGAAGAGACTGACCCATTTTTTTCTTTAATTGAAGCTAACAGCCATTTAATTTCAACTGAAATTGATGTGTAAAACTCTCCATTAACCTTAGCTGGAATCCTCTGTTAGCATTTTCTTTTTCTTGACTGGTAGCAAAACAAGACTAGCTTAGCAGCAGGACATCTGCATTCTGAGGTTGACTTCCTATCTAATGAATATGAGAAATACTATCCATAACCTTTCACATACGTACTCCAGGACTTTGAGTAATGCACTTCTCAATTTAGCTATCAAAACAACTCCAACATCTCACTGAAAACAGAGTTTGTCAGGCAAAAAAACTATCTGTTCCAGAGACAGACTGCTCATGCACCTACCTACCTTTTAAACTCTTCTAGCGGGCTGGCTGTGTGGGAATGGGCTGAAGGGGAGAGAGGCTCTGGTTTCAGGCTGTTACTGAAAGCATGCAGATGTTTCACAAGCAGTCTTACCACCAGCACGTGCTCTTCAGTGGGTTTAAATGATTCCTAGATTTAAAGCAGAGGACAGGAAGAGAGTAAGCATTATACACTAACCCTCCACATAATTCAGAAAAATGGCATTTTCAGAATAGAAATTGAAACATAAATGCTCTCTTTCTTTTAGGCTTTTCACTGTAGTTTGGTGCCAGGTAACTTTAGACAAACTTGCTGCCCAGGATAAACTGCATCAGGCTTCTGCCATCGTCAGTTCACTATGATTGTAAGAAAAAGCACCTGCAGTATTCTAAGGCAGTGAATTTCAAGGTAGCACTCTCTATAGGTGTGCATAACGATAGGATCTGTGTAGATTTCAGCCTATCTGTCTGAAATAAGAGTGTTCAGCCTTTCATTATGGTTTTAAGTTCACTGCTGTGAATAGCACAACTCTTGTTACACTCCTGGCTGACTTTCCTTAGTGTTCTCCTTACTCTGCTGGTACTCATCTGTCTCATAAGAAAGAATAATGCTAGAAAGAGTTACGCTAAGAATATGTACTGCTTCAAGTCCTGCACGATCCTGTCACTTCTAGCACTTTTATAAGTAGAAGTAGCCAGGCAGGAATAGAACAAGGAGTGATGGTGAGCCACAGTGACACTGCTAGCAAATGAGCGAGTGTGTGATATAGCAGGGAGATGAATGTGGTGAAAAAGGAACTAGCTCTCCTAGGCCCAACACCAAAGCTGGGCTGCTGCACAGTCTGGAAACAAAGTGTTAACTCCTTTGCTACTGTAATCTGCTTTAGGAGTAGTGAACTAACCTCAATCCGCTACTGAAGGTGAATTTTAAGATACCATTTGTATTCTAAGTCTCACGGCTCTCATATTTCTAGAAAGTCAAGCAGAGTGTACACGAAACTAAAGTTACAGCTGCAAGTATAATGGAAGATGCTGGAAAAGTGTATTAGTAGCTGCAAGATATTTCCAGAATGTCATAATGAAGCCATTTTGAGGTAAGATTTCTGAATACAACTCTAGGGGACTGTAGTGGAAATGCTGTCATGGCCTGAACCAGTGATTGAGCACCTGGTGGGAAGGAAGGACAGGTGCATGCAATGTACCTGAGTGACCAGAAGGGGTGGAGCCAGGATGCAGCCTTCATTTAAAGGTTGGCAGTGGAGGTGAGGGCATCTCTTGCTGGAGACCCCCTACCTACCTGAGGCCTTCCAAAGGTAAGCAGCTCTTTTCCTTCATTTCTGTATCCATGGCTGCTGTGTTTGGGCTTGTTCTCTTGCTGTAGCCGAAGACTTTGCCACCCTGCTATTATTATCTCATTATAGCATTACAAGGACTAACTGGTATTTCATACAAAAAGCCTCTGCTTCTTGACTACTATAGCTATGTATGCATATAACTATTATATATGTGTGTCCATATCCTTTTGTCTGTGATGCCTGAGCTAACACAGATGTTCTTTTACGTTTCCTACCACATCAAAAGTTTTTCTTAGGGTTTTACCACACTTGAAAGATGACTCTAGGAAAAGAATCAAGGCTTGATAGATCTGTTAATGTGTTACAGAGAAATCTATTCCTGTAGAGGAACCTCAAATATCCTGTTATCAGTTCTATTGAAAGTCTTGCTTGTGTTCTTGACAGCCCTGAGTATGTAAGCATGTTTTCTGGAGTCCTAAGGAGTTTAGATAAAGATGTCCAGAAGTAATCAGAAACATTTAATATTCTGCTGTAGGCCAATAGGAGTTATTTTCTAGAAATTCTAGGCTCCACTTGAAAGTACTTTTGGAACCTGCAGAAATACCATTTCAGTACATGACTTCAGGTCACAATAGTTTTTTCATTTAGGAGTTATTTTTGTCCTAGCCCAGATCAGCAGTGCAATGAACTGTTTTAAAGGTGTCTTTCCTCATAACTGTTGCTCCCCTTCCTCCCCCCCCAAGCTGCAGTAGCATCCAAACAGTATTTCTTATTTTCCTTTTTAAGCAGTATCTTGAGATTTCACAGTACTTTATACAAAAATAACAAATTTAAAAGCAGGAAAATGTCATGTAGTGCTAAAGAGCCTTGCAACATGTTAAGAGTTTTATACTGCATATGCTTAGCCCTCCCCTTTCCCAGAATGAAAACCCAATGAATAAAGGGCTGAAGTAAGGAAGAGGAATCAACAATCTGTTCCAACAAGAATGTTCTTGCATGCACATTTCCTGAACAATCTGCAAGTGTACCACTTGTGTCATTTTGCAAAGCAGGACAATCAAGTTCACACTGCCACTGCAAATTAGTACTATCCCATGGCATTTCACTGGCTGAAAAAAAAAACAAAAACCTCCCAAAAAAACCAGGCGTGGTTTTTTGAATTACAGCCATGCCAATTTTGATCTTCTCTTCCATTCAAGGCTTGCTTAAATTAGTTTTTGAGAGGCAGAAGTGTGTAATCACTGAGGCCAGTTTGGATGTCAAAAGTTGTTAGCACAGCTGATAACAAATGTCCTCCTACAATGCACTACAAGAATGCATTCTAAATATGGAGTTCCCAATTAGTCCTCATACACACCAAACTTTAACTGGTTTCTCCATGGCTTTTGCTAGTACCTCTCACTACCTGCTTTTACTAGAAGTTTATTATACCTCAATAGTTTGTACTCAATCAAGTTATTAAACCATGCAGTGCCTTTTTCTACGAGCATTAGGTTTGCAGATTGTAAGATGGAACAAGATCTTTAAAAAGGAAACAAAATGAAAAGATGGTAATACTTGGTATGCGTGGAGGGCCTGGTAGCTGGATTGGGCAGGACTACCGTGGTGTTTACTGGAGATACTGAGTCGGTAGTGGAGAACCTCCAGCTGAGACAACAGAAACAAAAAAGGAAGGGGTGAGGGGGGAAAAAGGAGAGAAGAGAGCAAGAGAAAAAAAAAAAAGTGAGAATGAGCCCAAGGAAGAAGGGTGTAGGGGAAAAATGAACATCACAAATACAGTCAGGAACAACATATCACAATAACAACTGCAGCCACAGTATCCTCTTCTTTCTGTTATTCAGTAGCATTATTTCACAGCCTTTCATAGCCTTTACCAACTTGCAAATAAAAGTAGGAGTGAAAGAATTGTGGCTGTAGGTTGGTTTTCTTTTCTTTTTTTTTTTCTGCTGTCCTTAGAGCAAGCAGTGGTACAGGATAAGGAGCTTTTCTCAAATAAACCATGGAGCTACATCAGGTCCATAAGAACAACCGATCCAAACTCCCCATTTCAGAAGCTGAATACAGCAACAAGGCTTTGTAGTATTTTTTTCCCCCAGTAGTTAATAAACGTTCATTTTTATGCATGCTCTTTTATACTAGTTGGAAAGCTTTTTTGTTTTTTCCTGCAGTGCTAGAGAAGCAGGGTTTGTGTACTAGGAAGAAACTCAATATTTTCTCCTCTCTCCCAAGGAGAAAGAAGGAGAAAAGGTTGGCTTTTCATATGAGTGTTAGTGTGATCAATATGTTCCCAGTTCAGACAAATCCTCAGTCACCTTCTTTCTACTTAAAGGCCACCTGAGAAGTTTGCAGGTCTTGTGAATTTCCTCGGAAGAGGACATTGCTTTTACTGTTGGGGAAACATCAAGTGCACACAAAAGCAAGCAAGAGACCTAATGTACAGTGTTACATGCTCATGCAAATGGCAGCTTGCCTTAACACTGAAATCCCTGCAAGCCTCTACTGCACCCCTTCTTGGATGAATTTTTTTTTGACAGTGTGATGGTGAACAGGATACTGTGGCAAACAGTGACACACATGTATGAAATTAATGAATGAACATAAAACAATGTACACTACACAGATCTCAACAACTATTGTCAGGCATCTAAACTAACTCTCCTGGAGAGAGATCACACCTCTTGCTGTCTCTGATCAGTCCTTACTCAATCTTCTCTAGTGCCAGTTTGGTATCTTTTGGTTTTATGTTCTTGGAGTGGTAGAATTGTTACTGCAAGTTCCTCAACATCTCGAGCACATCATCTGCTGCAGCATCAATAGCAAAAGCCTGTCATCTAACAGGGTTCTGCATGCAGTGCTGGGGTCTGTGGCACCTGGCACTGCAAGGTCAGGAATTGTTACATAAAGCATCAACCACCTTTTAGTAAGAGTTCATTGTGATTACAGCAGAAGGGAAATAGGAAAAGAAATGCTGCATGCTTGGGCTCTGGAACATATGAGGAGAAAGTGAATGGAGAATGTAAAAGAACAGGGAAACAGTTGAATTAATGTAGAGAGCAGTGAAACTCAGCAGAATGAGTAGTGACAACACAGATTTGAACCAGATCCAGGATGAATTCAAAACAGTAAAGTAGGAAAGTACCTTCTCAAGTTCTTTACTACTCATTTCTCTTCTACTTCTACTGACATGAGAGTAATAAGTTTTAAGAAAAATCTATTATTCCTTGAGGCACTTAGATGTAAAAAAAAAAATGGGGTATCTGGGATTTGATTTGGCCCATCAATGGAAACAAGTCTGTCTACTGGACAAAGAAAGAGCAAGTTCTGTGGAACCTCACACCACACTCCAGTACAGATACTTAACCATTTCAAGTCACTAGTGGTGAAACAGGTCTCAGGATACAAGGACCCAGTCACTAATTGCTCCTCCCAAACACACAGAAGGATAAATGGCATCAAGGGAATCTGCATAGCTAGTAGTCATTTTATAAATAAGGTTTAGAGTGATCTTGGATTTCCAGTCAAACTCTTTTACTCCTAGGTTAAAACAAAACTTGTATTTCTGTGTATTCTTCCTCATTTGAGGAACTATTAAGCAGACTATTCTCCTGAAACCAACCTACAAAGCTTAGTTTAAGCAAAACTGACTTTCAACAGTCCCATCCCCAACTCAAATGGAACCTCTCCTCAGTCCTGCAAGAGTGGTCCTTCATCCATTTCTGGGTATCATAAGAAATTCCTGTCCCTTTTTCAGGCATTAAAAAAGACAACTTTTGCACATCCATGATTGCTTCTCAGAAAGGATAGAAGTATTATCAGGCAGCAGAGGCCTCAAATTGCAACCTAATACACCTCACAGAGGAGCACAAAGTGATGATTTTTCAACAGCTTTAAGCTTCTCCTAGGACTCATCTACCACCAGTTACTGTCTAAACTGTTGCTTTCTAATTAAGAGAGCATCTGAAATACAGAGGGTGAGCAAAGGAGAGAAGTTTAGCAGTCATCACTTCTGGCTTAAGCACAGCACTTGATGTACAAAGACTTGACAGACAGACAGACAAGCAAAGCACTGGTGCACAGCCATGCTGCTGGGGTTCTTAACTGGAAAAGCTTCAGTATTAATAAGAGCTTGAAGTTTGACTGCAGTGTAAAAGATTAAAAAGAACCCAGCAGCTCTTTCCCAGCAAAACATACATGTTTGTTACTTTAAAGCCTGGTGAAGTGAAGGAGTAAAATTTCTATTAATCAGCTCTCATTGCTCTTTCAAACGAGAACGAATCTTCAATAGTTTTTATATTTTTCTCCCCTCCTACAGAAGTCCCACTAAATTCAGAAACAGTTCTAAAGATCAACATATTCTCCTTAAAGTTCCTTTTGCAATTATAGTGCCTTTAATCTTAGCCTCCCTATTACACATTCAGTTTTTACATACAATAGTTTTAGTGGCCACCACAAACTGCTTAGAGCACCACATTAAATGGGCAAGAACTCTGTAGCCACACAGAGCTTCTGACACCATTTTATGCTGAAAAAAATCTATTTTAGTATACAAAATAATAAAATGGTTTACGCACTTAAAACTCAAGGACAGTTTAGTAATCTTTCCCTTTTGGTTTTATCCTATAAGGTGGATACAGAATTCTCTGATTTCTCGTGGTTAACAGTAATGCTGAATTGCCATTACTGCTGGATATCAATTCTAGATTATTTTAGCAGTTATTTCACCCCAGTGCAATTTAACCTGGCTTTACAGTGGCATCTTTCTAGTCATTTAGTACTTTGATTCTTGATATTGTTGTGACCATCCCACAAACTGCTATTTAAAAAAAGAAATCACCACTACCTCTTCAATGAAGCCAAACCTGGCTGACACACTTGGAATATTTTCCATAATTGGAGAATAGCAGTTTTGAACACTCATGCAAACACTCATTAAATTTTGTTTCCTTCGCAACAGCATACCAAAAAATTCTCTACAGAAGATTTACACCAAGATAAATCAAACATCAGATGATGTACATGAATGAAATACAATCTATTACCTTGACATGAGGGGACTGCATTTTCTGATACATTTCCAGGGAATAATGGTGAAGCCACATTTCAACAAAGATCTGCAAAACAAATATTTTCTCATTGAGGGGAATAAATATTCCAGCACTTGTCAGTCACAAACTAGATCATGAAGACCATGGTAGGTCATTTGGAAACTAAGCTGTACTTGAAAATAGGCATGCAGATTTTCAGAGATGTTTCAAGTTATCATTTACTAATCAAAATAAATGACTGTTGGTGTACAGTTGGCACCTGCTAAATAAACATTAGTAATTCAATTCAGCAATGTGATAAGAACTTGTTTCAGAACAACTGTTAAATCCAGATTCTCCTTTCCCTTTCCTGATGGTGAAGAGAAGCAAATTTTCTGCATTTAACTTTTTCTTAAGGCACGGAGTTGATGTAACATCTAAAAAAAAACTATATAGAGAAAATAATCAGATTTAGAAACTTCTCTAGAAAAAAAATCCTCAGTTAGCAGCAGGAAATGTGTTGTTTTTTTCCCCTCTTTCTACATCCAGCCTACCTGAAGTAGCGTTTCTGATCTCCATATCTCCTGGGAAGCTGGGTCAGCATTCACAGAAGGCTGATGGGCAATGTGCCGTTTCAGCAAGCTGGTGTGATGCATGCCATAGGAAGTGAAAGGCACGGCTGGAGACCTTTAAAGATGAAGAGAAATGCTGAAATCATTAAGCCTCAGTACAGAGAAATATATAATTGCTTTTGATCACTGGTTTCTTAACTGAAAAACAGTCTTTAAGAAAGAAAACTGCATAGTCGATAGCACACTTTAAAAATTCTGAATGATGCTGAAATCATTTTGATTTAAATTAAAAAATCCAACACATTATTATTCACACTGCATTGAGCCAGCTTGACACAGCCCTTGTTATATCCATTAATGCTTTAAAAACAAAAATAACATTCTCCTATTGTTGTTTTTTCCCTTTTCTGTTCATGTTTTTGAAATGTATTCAAAATGCAATTATAAAGGGCATTACTGCTCTATGTTTTCTACATTAACATAAAACTGCTAATATTGATAGCACTCAAAATGCAGTGATCTCATTATACAGGTTTTGCTGCATGTACTTACCTTTTCTGTTCCAAGCACAGCTTATTTTCAGACTTTCACTTTTACCACAGAGATTTCATTTAAGTGAATATATATTTTATTTCTGTAATTATGTAACGAATACGTAGAGGTGATAAAGAGTGGAGGTGTTCTCTTCCTTTTAGAGCCATGTTCTTTAAGCAGTACTCTCACAATCTGCCTCTGGCACTGCAGCCATTACCTGGGAGTTGGAGAAGGGATGGCTCCCCCAGGGTTTGAAGAAGGTGGAGGAAGAACACTTCCTTCTGTGGGTAGGAAACACTTCAGGTACGTGTCTACCAAGATGAAATAAGCGCTGTTGGAAGGGCTGACGTGGTGGGTGATGGGTGAGTTCTGAAACAGGCAAACAGCAAGTAGAATTACTGAGTTGTCTGGGAACTGCTGCAGTGAGTGTAATTAGTATGAGAAGAGCATAGTGCTCTGTAGTGCAGGTAACAACAGAAAGAGGAACCAAACAACCAGACAGCACAGTACACCACTGTGATTCTGACTGTATGAAAGTTGTTACTGGTAGAAAACTAATTTGGAATCCATTGCCTGCTCCACGTTCACGTATCATTGGACAGACTGCTTACTGGTACATTCCAGATGGGTATTCCATCTATTAATCATTTCCTTAAAGAACTGAAGCAATAACAAATTCTAGGAATATAGATAAAACTGTGAATTTAATTGGACAACCCCTCAGAAGGCTCTTAAAGTACTGTTACAAAGGACTTACACTATTTAAAATTGTGACTTACCTTCTGTGTAATCAAACTAATTGCAAAATAAAACATGTAGTATTCAAATGGGTCTGGAATAGCAGAGTCAAGGAACAAATAATAGAAGAAACAACAGGTACAGCTGTTGAATATCTGGGGATGATGACTGGACATTACATTTCCATTTTGTCATGTGCAAGTTAATTTGCTAGAGAGCTTAACAGCAAATTCAGCTTTGCCTTCTTGCTTTCCAATTGCCTGAACATAACCAGTAAGTTAGAGGAATGTAAACACGCCTTGCAATATATAGAGAAAGCTTGTCTCAAACTGAAACCCTTAAAGGTACAGCTAGATGGCTTCCAACAAATGCAATAGCAGCAAATTTAACAAGCCTTTTGGCTTATTCTGACTGTTATATCTAACAGCTGAAAGGATACTTAGAGCCAAATTCAAATCTAAACCACCAGATGAGGTAAACTGGACTTTGTTGTGGTATAAGGAGCATTCTGGTAGGACCTGCTCTTGTATTGATGCTTTCACAGGACCCTGAAAGAGAGAGTAATGGAATATCAGTTGGGATAGTCAGCATACTTACAGTGAATGTTTTCAGATTCTGAAACTCTGCTGCAATCCAGCATTCTGGGAACATATCAAAATTCAACTCAGTGGGGTTTCACTGCATTGCAGTAATTACTTGTGCAAAGTAATGTGTGCACACTCTTTAGGTAACTGCCAAGTTCTTCACAGAAAATGAGTATTTCAATGTAAGGGAAAAAAAAAGTATTCACTCAGGCTTTTTCCAGTTGGAGTGGGATCAGCAGTATACTGGTGTCTATCTGATAGCTTTGTTAGCTGTGGAGTAACAATTACTACATAATTAATGATTCCTTTACTTAAAAACTATGGAAATATTGAGATCAATAGGATCCAGGTAACATGTGGTAAGAATAGAAGAAATATAGTGAAACAACTTGGCAGATAATCATTTTTGTATGATTTTGTATGAGCATGGAAAAGTATTTTCCATTCTGGAACTACTGGTAACCACAATAAAGTGCACCACTTTCTCTGGTAACACAAAAATCACAATGCAATGCTGTTGGTCTAGCAGAACAAACATCTAGCTGCTGACAGCCACCATTTCCTACAATGTTTATGGCTGGGAATTCTCCTCTGCAACCATTTAATGAGACACATGCTATAACATGACCTTGGTTTAACCTTATGTATGAAGTGTGTGCAATGTTCCAATAGGTGCAACATCTACTTTTTCTTCTTACAAACGTTTCAATTACTCACTGGAAGATAGGAGACTGGGAAATCATATCTGTATTCTTCTGCTTGGAGCTTGTAAACCAGCTTCATCATTGGGCCACTGCAAATGAGTATTGAAAAGAAAATACATGGTGAGCATTCTCTTTTGTCTTCACCTCTGCAATTATATGTTGGCACTATTGTAGAAAAGTTAAATACTGGTTATTCACAGTACTTTTTGCTGTACTTACCTGGGATCCAGGAAATCCAAAGCCACAGAATACTCAGTAGGATTTGTTCTTCCTTGCAAACAGCGAAGATTCCAGCCCACAATGATGCCATCCAGGCTACCAAAAATGCTCTCCACCAACCATGGGAAAATGCCATGTAGTTCCTTCCAAGAGAACAGATACCAAGTGCTAGAGCATTTATGATTCCTTAATCAAAGAATCTCTATTGCAGGCTTCAGAATACACAAGGATACTTTCTGCCAGCTATTAACAGCACAGGATTAGTTATTACTGCTTCCAGATTACTACTGGTTATAGATCATTCAGCTTCCACTCAAAATAATTTATCTGTCTTACTGTTCCAACTGGAGTTGCCACAACACCAATCAGCAGCATGCCATTGTAAGAGCTAGATGAGTTTGAAAGGTATAAATGAAGCACAGTCAACTGAACCAGCCCTTTTGTGACTGAAAATGTTTGTTCAACACTTGGGAAATGCCCACTGTTTCACCTAGAAGGAAAAAATCTTCTACAGTAAGGGTGGTGAGACAATGGAACCCATTACCTAGTTGTGGTTGAAGCCCCATCTCTGGAGACTTTCACAGCAAGGCTGGATAAGGCCCTGGGCAACCTGATCCAGCTGCAGTGCCCCTGTTCATTGCAGAGGAGTTGGACTGATGGTCCTCAGAGATCCCTTCTAGCTCTAAGGACTCTACAATTCTAACTCTTGGAAAGAGCAATAGGAATGAAGACAAGTGTAACCCAGAGAGCCCTGGGAGCTGTGCTGGGCAGCACGCTCCTGGGAAGGCCGCAGCCACTCACCTTGGCAGGAAACTCCTCTATCACCGTTTCCAGATCGTGGCACCTCTGAGCAAACGGTTTGTTGACGCAGTCCGCCTTCAGCGTGGCCTGTTATAAGTTACACGAGAATCAGATCCCGGTGCCGAGAAAAGCAAAGCTTATCACAGCCACGGCACCAAACCCCACTACGCTGCTCCCCACGAAGCACGGCTCAGCACTGATAACCTCACCCCAGCCCTCAGCCCCGCCCCACGCACCAGCAGAAAGCTGGGCTGCTGCAGGTACGGGCCAGCCATGTTTCCCAGCCAGGCCTCCCGCCGCGCTTCAGCCGTCGCAGTTCATTTGCGTCATCTTTCATCCGGCGCGCAGTGATGACGTCAGCGCCACACGTGCACCCACCCCCCCCCGCCGTGCTCTTGTTGCTATGGTGACGCGCTTAGACTGTGATTACTGGAGCACCGATTTGTGTAATTTGGGGGAAAAAAAATCTATCTGCTGCTTTTTTTTTTTTTTTCAATGGGAATTTTGCAGATATTCCAGAAAACCGCAGGAATACACACGTGGTAGTGCTTAGAGAGGGAATTCCAGTCCAAGGCCTGGAAAATAATAATGATTTGTATGATGCACTGATGTCAGCTGTGCAGTTAATACCAGTAAACACAGCTATGGAAAATAATCCTCTTCAGAAAAGCTTAGCTTGATTTCTGCTAAGGTTTACAAGTTTGGTCCAGAAATGTTATGTGGTTAAAACAGACGTTTATGTGGTGTTTTGGTTGTATTTTGTGCAAGATGGCTGAGCGAAATGTTCTGGTTTAGGTTGTGCATGAGGTCAGACAAGGTGATGCGGCCTTATGCTTCATCACAGTCGTTAAAACTGGGGGGAAAATAAGTGTAAAAATTGTGCTGGAATAGAGGAAATCTCATGGAAAGCTTAGCTCTGACCCTGCACGGTGACTTTACCACCACGTTTGATAAGTTTATATCCACAAGCATAAAATCATTCAGTGCTTACATAAATGCTCACGGGATCAAAATGTAAAGCAGTATGCTATTTCTTGGTGTTGATGTGGGCTTGCATCCCAACCTGCTTTGTGTCTCACAACCCCTGTTGGGTACAAGGAGGGGAAGCAAGCAGATCGCCAGCAGCAGAGCAATGCAGTTCCTTGACTACAGAAAAGAGAAATCAGCAGCTTGTCTGACAGCCCCACCTGGAACTCAGCCAGGGAATTCATGTGCTTATTTCTTGTTTTACATTCCGTACGATTATTGTTGTTATTTTTAAAAAATGCCCAGTATTTTGAATGTAGCAAGCTGGTAACGTGGCAGAAGATTTTGACACGTGCAAAGGTGAAGTTAATTAGAACTGTTGGAGCTGTGTTTGCTGTGATGCAATGTGTGGCCCAGGTGGGATGCTGGCAGCGTTTTACAAGAGCATTTGCAGTTGTGAACGGTTATTGGCAGAGAATGAACACTCCTGTTTGAAAGGACCCTCCTCCAGGTGGGGATAAAGAGCTATTTTAGCTCGGGAAAAAACCCTTGTGACTTGATGGCAAAGCTGCTGCAGTGCGCTCAGCTGCGAAAGTTATGGCTATGATTACCAGAAGGTAAGAAAACGGCAGGTCTGTCGTGTTTCCAGTGGGTGATAGAGAAGGAAAACGATTAGAAATAAATGATTGAGAGAATAACTGAACGCTGGAGGTGCTTCGTATGAATGACAACAACACTCATCCAATTAAATGAATAAAATAGTACAAAGGGAGACATTTAGTAAATGATTTTAATAACTGTAGGAACTGCTGAGGAGGATCATGGAGTGGTGGTCTATTTATATTCACAGGTCTGTTCTCGAGCTTGCTGAAATCAGTGATACAGTTCTGTTGTCACTCTTACATACAGCATTTTCAAACATACATCTGCAGATTACGTATGTACTTTTTCCCACTTTGCAGATGGAGAGACTGAGGTCAGAAACATTGTGCCATCCGATGCTTTGCCATTTACCTACATTTCTTTTTTCTCCTTCTCCCAGATTATAGCAATCTTTAAGCCACAGCAGCAAAAAGGATTTTTTTTTTTTGCATATTGTTGGCATGTTCTTCCTGAAAGAAACTTTGCTAGAGTTGGAGCTCTTTTCTCAAAGAGTGGTTTGCATTCACTTATCTGCTTTGGTGCTTGCTCTGTCTTTTTTATCAGTCACTTGGCTGGAGTTTTCTATTGGGTGAGGAAGTGCACAGCTGAAATGATCAACTTCAGCCATGCCAACACTTCACTTGAGTAAGGCACCATTTTGTCACCCTGGTGTAATCATGACAGCATTCCAGTTTTGGTCAAGCTTAACGAAGTAGCCAAGTTCTTATGACTGCTGTAAAAACAAATGACTTGATAATACACTTCAAAGTAAAGCAGAGTTTGCAGGAAAAGGTACAATCTTTTATATAGTCAGTGATTAGTGATTGAGAGAAGCAGGAGAGCATTTGCCCACTCTGTGGTTTGCTGAAGTCTGATTCAGGTGCAGCAGCCAGAAGTCCAAGCTGGGAACAGATTCCCATACATTTAACTTGATTACGTTAATCAATAAATCTGAGAGAAACTGGTGAAGTAGAAATAATCTAATTTAAAGAAACAGCATAGATTTCTGATTAATGAGACAAACCTTGTTGCTTGTGCAGGATGAAATTGATTTCATCCCTTGCTGTAAGGACAGGTTAGAATGTCATAACAGCAAGGAGCTCTGTCAAAATGTTCTCTTGGCTGGAGAGTTGTTTGGGTGTCGGGTATGTCAAGGATAGATGAAATGATTAGAAAACATGGTCTGATGGGAGCAAAACCAGACTACCGGATAATGAGAATTCAGCTGGAACAAAGCCTGGAGTCCTATAGGTGAAGAGAAAAGGGGCATTTTCAGAGCAGTGGAAATGTTTCTGGTTCAGCTGAAGCAACATTTCTGTCCAAACCTGTTCAGCACATGCAGATGTCAACATTACACCTTCCCTTCCCTTACATGCACAGACCTGCTAGGGCTTGAAGTCAGAGTTTGTTGGATAAAGATGACACTTCCTTTGTTGTTTGAGGAGAAAAAGGAAATAATCCACGCATTATGTTTAATTTCTTCTGAATGAGGTGACAGCAGGCTCTCAGTGTGTATTTAACCACTGCAGGGTGACATATCTACATCTGACTGCTTTTAGTATCTAGGTCTGTGAGTAATCTATTATACCTTCAATTTATTTAGGTAGAACAAAAAACATCAAGTATTACATTTCTCTCTCTGACTAAAAAAGTGCATATACTGTAGTAGGATCTTACAGAAAACTGACAGTTCTCAAAGGATAGGGCCTTCTATGTGGGATTCCTCTTCAAATTATGGAAAGCCATGCTAATGACGTGAGGCTGTTGTGCAGGTATGCACTGCGAATCACAGGGCACTCAGGCAGAAATTGAAGGCTCCCTAGAAACATAGGTCTGGCTTTTTATTTACACTATAGCTATTCTGTTACATCAGAGAGCATTTTCTTTGTCTTTTAAAGTAAAATTTGCAGAAACTCTTTGGTATGAGAAGACCCAGAAGTAGGGGACAGGAGTGCATCAGAATGGGTACCTACTGAAATGTGTCATCTCAGGGGCTGGTGGAAAGAAGGTCAGAGCAGCTCTGCAGGGATCTTTGAAGTAATTTACATGGTATATACGAAGGAGAGGAAAGAACACTATATATTTTTTTTCCTTTATCAGTTGATTGCTGTTATATGCACTCATTTCTCCTAATGATTTCTGCAAATTTGTTACATTTGTGCTTAATTTCTGCAAACAGAGATTGCATAAGGTGCTGCATGGCAGCATTGTGTCAGTAGTCCCCAGCTCCAGCTTGCCTCCCATAGTCTTGAGGGTACCTTAGCAATCCTCTCGTTTACTGTGGAGTGTATTTTGTGCCTTTTTATGTGTACTCTTGGGTTTCCAAATTTAGGACTGAAGATTTTCCTATCAATATGAAGTGCTAGAATATACTTTGGTTAATGAAAACTGGATTTATTCCATTATTATATGAATCCAGGAGCTTGAGGAATAAGTAACCCAGGCCTTTCAACACCTGCAATAAGATGTGACTCTTGGCAGTATAGTGTGTGATGCATTAAGCAGGGACTGAAGCAACTGTTGGATCCAGAGTTTGAGCAAGCCTGAGTACAATGAGAATTACTGCTGCTGAAACTGAGTTTGTTTTCTTAATGTAGGGATTGAGGGCTAAGGTTTGGGCTATGAAACAATTTTTTTTTTTCAAATACCATTTTCCAGTCTAGCTGACAAGTGATCTAAATTCTGATTTTTAATTTAATAGGGTTAGGCTGGAGGAAAAAAACACTTTGTTCCATTTCTTTTCCTGTTGACTTTGAAGGAAAAGACGCTTCAAGTTGAAATATACAGCTTTGTTTGTTTCTAGATATTCCCCATATGTCTAAAGCAAGGCCTTTGTGCTGTAAGATAGGCACGAGCTGCCCAGCAGTGACTTCAAGCATGCTGTTAGAGCTCTCCTTGCTATTTATATTTTGCCAAGCTGACATTTCTATTTCCCAGTTCACCATTTTCCTGCAAAATGCCATTGAACACAGTGCCAGTTTTTCCTCTCTGAGTTGCAGTGCTATACTCAGGGCTGCCTTTGGCTGCATTTCCATCACACCACTGGGTGCCCACGCTTCCCCAGATGGCAGTCATGGGAAGGAGGGGTGATGGCTCCAGTGTGTCTGCCAGGCAGTTTCCCCAAGGACCCTATATAGCCATCACCATGGCGAGATGTCCTTGGATTAGGTCAGCATCCAGGCACTTTCATAGCCCCAGTACACACACACAAAAAATCATTTAACAAGTAAATGGAGCTGTGTGCTACTTAATAAAATATGGTATGGAGTAAATAATTGCCTTAGGAAGGGAGACAGTCCAGAGTTGTATGGATGGAGTAAGCTCATGGGTTTTGTGACCGATATGGTATTTTTATCCATTATTTTTATCCTTCCATTTAAAAGCAGATAGCAGTGTTCTCAAAGAGCAGTGAACCTATATAATAATAGCTTTAATAATCTCTTCCCCTCAAGCACTGTTTGAGAAACAGAATGTCTCTCTCCCACTAACAGCTGTCTGCCGACAGTCTTTCATCTGTATCCTTTCTGATTCTGCAGTCATTTACTCATTTCAAGCGTTTGCTTTTAGAACATGCAATTTTTAATTCCTGCCTGCCAAGATGAGAGGAAATCAACATAAATTGCTGGGGTGAGTGACCAGGAGATGACAGTTGAAAGCCTTGGAAATCGGGTGTTTCAGCCTGACAAGGCAAGATGAAGTATGCACAAATGGGAAACTGCGCAGAGCTTG